GACAGATGATGTACTTTGGTTATGTATGAACATGGTAGGTATAAGGTTTTTCCTTTCCATATGCACCTCTTGTGTTAACCTCAACTTCTCAGAGGTCATTTCACTCTTATTGACACCTTTGTCAGAACAATTAATTCCTGCTACGCGCCCCTCAGTACCATTCTTCGTGATAAAGGAAAGTTTTGCCATCTTCCCTTGGTCTTAAACGTCTCCCTTTTTTTTTGTTGGGATTTGCCTTGAATCTTAGAATCCCACATCGAAAGTTAAGTAAGTTTGAGTTTGTCTTGTATCCCACATCGGGAGTTTAGTAAAGGTATAAAGGGTTTCACCTTTATAAATAAGATGTTTTGGTTTTAGTTTGTAATCCCAGAGAGTTAGACACCAAGAGAATAGCTAAGTGAGTAGGCTATTAAAGGGTGTAATTGGGTTTTGGGTTAAGTTTTGAGTAAGGAGTTTTAGGAGACTTTTCTCATTCTAAAAGTCTCACCATTGTAAAGACTTATTTGATAGTGAATTAGATTTGGAGTAGGCCATTTTGAGTTGGGCCGAACCAAATATATTTGTGTGTTCTTATTCTTGATTTGAGCTTGTTATTTTGTGTGTGGTTGCTGCGCGTGGGTATTGTGGTATTTCCCAACAAGTGGTATCAGAGCGAGGTTCGAGGTTCGTGGGTCCAAGAGATCGTGAAGCAGTGTTTGAAGATGTCTGAAGAAGGTATGTCTGGTATGTCTATGTCTAAGTTTGAGATTCCGTTATTTGATGGAAAGAGTAATTTTATGTTATGGCAAAGTACGATTCAAGATCTGTTAGTACAACAAGGATTGGATCAGGCATTGGAGAGTAGTAAGCCTGAGGGAATGTCTGATGCTAATTGGAATAGGATTCAGAAGAAGGCTGTTAGTACTATTAGATTGGCATTAGCTCCAGAAGTAAAGTACAGTGTGTTGACTGAGAGTACTCCAAAGAGTTTGTGGGATAAGCTTGAAGGTATTTATGCTTCGAAGTCGTTGACTAATAGATTATGTTTGAAGATGGATCTGTATTCTTTGAAGATGGAAGAAGGTATGAGTCTTCACAATCACCTGAATGAGTTTAATAGATTGGTTTCTCAATTGCTAGCGATTTCTGTTGATGAGTTAAAAGATGAAGAGAAGGCTTTAATTTTGCTGGCATCTTTGCCCAAGTCTTATAGGCCTTTAGTTCAGACTGTGTTGGTAGGTAGGTCTACTTTAAAGTTGGATGATGTGACTGCTTTATTGCGTGAGAATGAAAGGTTTATGGGAGCTCAGAACTCATCACCTGTGGGGAGTACACTAGCTGTAGAGGGTTTTGATCGAGGGAGGACTCAAAAGAGGATTGATGGATCAAGATGGAGATCTAAGTCAAGAGACAGAGATTATAGTGATGTAGAATGTTATTATTGTGGTGAGAAGGGACATATCCAAGTACGCTGCAGGAAGCTGAGAAGGGATATAGCTGCTTTCAAAAGGGCGAATGATGAGAAGAAATCAGATGAAGAAAAGAGTGATACTGCTGCTGTCGTGTCTGATGATGATGATGTTGTTTTGACAACTTGTGTGGATGAGACCCAGACTTTGAAAAGTGATAAAGGTTGGGTTTTAGATTCAGCTGCTACAGTTCATGTTTGTAATGATAAGAGCTGCTTTGTGGAGTTGGATGAGAATGAAAAGTATGGAGATATTGTGGTTGCTAACAAAGAAAAGGTGCGGATTCAAGGCATTGGGAGTGTTCGCCTTAGATCTCACAATGGTGTTATTAGGACACTTCGTCATGTAAGGTATGTACCAAATTGTCACTACAATTTGATTGCTTTGGGTGAGTTAGCTTCTCGGGGGTACACATTTTATGGTAGTAATGATTGGTTGAAAGTGTATAAGAATGGTAGTGTGATTCTACAAGGGAATAGGGTCAATCATTTGTACATGTTTGATGGAAGCTCAGTTGCTGGAATGCCTGTGATGAAAGAAAAGAAGAAAGGTAAGCATGTTAGCTTTGCAGATACTGTTGAAGTGTTTGGAGATTCAAGTCAAGGGAGGATTTGTTGGGATTTGCCTTGAATCTTAGAATCCCACATCGAAAGTTAAGTAAGTTTGAGTTTGTCTTGTATCCCACATCGGGAGTTTAGTAAAGGTATAAAGGGTTTCACCTTTATAAATAAGATGTTTTGGTTTTAGTTTGTAATCCCAGAGAGTTAGACACCAAGAGAATAGCTAAGTGAGTAGGCTATTAAAGGGTGTAATTGGGTTTTGGGTTAAGTTTTGAGTAAGGAGTTTTAGGAGACTTTTCTCATTCTAAAAGTCTCACCATTGTAAAGACTTATTTGATAGTGAATTAGATTTGGAGTAGGCCATTTTGAGTTGGGCCGAACCAAATATATTTGTGTGTTCTTATTCTTGATTTGAGCTTGTTATTTTGTGTGTGGTTGCTGCGCGTGGGTATTGTGGTATTTCCCAACATTTTTATGGTCACCCTTTTTGTCTCCACTTCCTTCCTTTTCCCCACACTTATGGATTGAGTGGCGTGTATCTTCTTTAGACCTGACGGGTCTGAAATTTGCTTGTTTTGGACATCTTGATTCACCTCAACACGCGATCGAGCCTCCTGGCTTGGGGGTAAAATTTGTTGGTTGTTCCTTTCGCCCGTTGGATCGTTGGTGGCTGCTTTAGTACGATTCTTTTCTTTTTTTGAACTACCATCCATGGCCCGAATCCTTCCTTATCGTGACCCTTTTTTTGAGTATCCTTCAGTGTCGGAGGAAATGGCTTTTGATCCTCGGTGATAAGACAAGCAGGGTTTTCTAGTCTCTTGTTGGGAGATATGAAGCCCGTAAAAACATACTAGAGAGTTCATATATACACGTGAAACATCATTTGAGTTCAAAAATTTAAGTTATTAAAATTTTGAGTTATATATATATATATAAAAGACATTTCATTCAAATTTTCTGATGATATGAGATCTTTTACTCACATATGAATCATATTTCAATAATTTCCTCCATTAACTTGTAAATTCTTATCAAGTTTCACCTCAGTTGTTCCGTGCGAATAGGTTTTATCATCTTTTTTGGGTCAAACAATCTTAAATTTTTAGTACGTTTTTTGAGTCAGACCACAGCACTCAACCTTGTCATCTAGGTTACCTCAATGCTCCTTCAAGCTTGCACTCCAAGTTGACTGAACACAACTTCCATTTGAGTGTTCTGCTTCTATGATATACTTGTTACATCCAAGTTGAACATTTAATATCGGCATTCGAGCACATGGATGACCTTTAATACCAACATTCTAATACATGGAGTTGATGGATGTGGGTTATCTTCAATCTGCCAATAATTCTCTCCCAACAATCTACTGAAATTCGAACCTGTGACTTCTCAAACCCAAGATTTTTTGGCTTTGATATCAGTTGTTGGGAGGATTGTCATACTTGGAGCTCATGAGGTACATTAAGCTATTAAATTTTTAGGTCCTTCATGTATATATAAAACATTTCATTCAAATTTTTTAATTATGTAATATTTTTTACTCACATGTGAATCACATCTCAACACTTCTAAGGGCATAACCTACCACACTCAAAACATAAAGTTCCAATGCTCTTGTAAACAATGACTTGCCTTCTGCCTTCAACCTTGATGAACCTGGGGAGTGGTTTATCCAAGTTTAGCTGGACACATATCCTTGCGTATCTCCCCCTTTCCCCTGCCAATGTATGCCCATCCACCCGAAGTAGAGATCCTATATGCTTGCCAATCTTTTCAAGAATTTCTAAATCAAAATATTCAACTGGGAGCTCTGGTAGCCTCGGCCACACCGCTACTGGTGAAAATGTAGCCTCAGATGCCCTAAAGTTAGGTTCCCACCTTCTTATAGTTAGAAAGTGTCCCCCAATAAACCAAGGGCCTCCTTTGAGCACATAATTGTAGTCTTCTATCAGCTGAAATTTTAGGAGAAAGTAATCATGGCCTAGGTCAACTAATGCAAGGTCTTTCCTGGAGCTTCCATAGATTTCAATCTTTATTGCTAAATATTTATATCCAACAGTACGCCCAAAGACTTTCACAATCATGGAATGAGCCCATTTTTCCTTAAATTTGTCTGCGCTCATCCCTGCTCAATGAAACATGGAGTTTCCCTTCTACGTTTCCTCCTTTATCTTGGGTTTCCTCGTCATCTGAATCCTCCTCCATATCCTCATCTTGAGGCTTTTCTGTCTTAGAATAGGTTCCATAGCTTCCCCCCAACAGTGAATCCTTATAGGAGATCTTCACCCTATTATCACCTCCACAAGGTTGTGCTTCAATGTTACTGCACTTCTCGTCGTGATCCTTAATCTTTTTTGTACTAACACTGTAGTTCTGCCGTTTCTTCGCCAAAGAGAGCGGTGTTCCTGTTTTCTTCGTTCATATGTTCCACTTTCAGAATCGAGGAAATAATAAACTCTATTAGCTCCTATGTTAGTAGTACTAAATGTAACTTTAAAACTCTTAAATCATATATATTTATTTAATTTAAAATTTTCTAATGATAACAATATATCAAACTATATCCAAATTTAGTGTTCTCATAAATAACTCTAATTCATAGTCCATAGAATTATGGAAAAGTTTAATGTTACAAAAAGAATGCATTTTGGTGTTATGTGAAATCTACCATTACAAACTTTGTAGGGAATTTATTTTACTCCTTTCTTATGGGCAATGAAATAAAAAACTTTCGTTTATCAAAAATTAAAATTCTATGCTTACAAAGAAGTTATGTCATTTTTTGAAAATTAAGTAATTAAAAAAGAAGTTTAACAACTAATAAAAAAAAAGAAGTCACTTTTTTTTTGTACTTTTGTAATTAGGTTTCGGAGTTACCAAAGGATATATGCGATAGCCTCGTTGAGGGACCAAATTCCGTAGATAAAAAGTTGGATGGGCAATGAATACAATTACATAAAATACCAGCGCTGGACGTAAATATATTTGAACATATAGGGCATCTTCGAAGAATTTAAGGTTGTAAATTGTAATTAAGTCGTAACAATAAAGAACGCACCTAAATCTTCCCAAAGCAGCCACTAGAAATTCAGACCCGCGATTTTGAGGAGCCTACATTGTAAAACCTGCTTCTTACTTCTTCGATCCATTTTCAAACGGGTATGACCCATTTTTTTTTCTTTTGGTTTTGTTCATGAATTTGATTCTCTGATTTGGGTCAAGCGTTTTCATGAGTTCATATTGAAAAGTAGTTTTTTGATTGAATACAGTTATTTTTTGAGATTATAATTGGATTATGGAACATGGGTTTTCGTTGTTTGTCTTCATTTAGTTGAAATTAATGGGTTGTTTTTGTTTTAACACTTCAATTCTTGGATTTGAAACGGTTCAAGTTAAAATTGTAATTGCTAGAATTGTTCCATTTCTTTTTCCTTGAACAATTAAAATTATTAATAAAGAGAAAAAAAGAACGAAGCTTTTCATAAGAATTCTTAAGCGAAGAGATAAATTGAGCTACAGTAATGAAACACACCTTGAGAGGACCATAACTTGATTTGTGTTGGGCCTATGTTTTACACTTGGAGTCTCTAGTGAACTTGTTCGTTGACCTTTTTGCAGTAATTAGCTTTTATTTCTCTGCTTCCTGTTTGGTAGGGATTGATTCAGGATTTTTCCTTATTTTGGCATGAAACTGCTTCTTGTAGAGAATTTCTACTCATTTATCAAATATCATTCGAAATGTTCCTTTTGATTTGTATCTTTTGAGTCAGTTTTATGGTATTGAATGGAGAGCTAGTAATATAAACTTCCCATGTTTTTGTTTGTAACTTTGCAATAGTTGCTTTTGATAATAATTTTTTATCAGATAGAAAAGAAGTAAAAGATTTGCTTGTTAGCAGAAGTAAATGTCTTCTTTTATTCCATACTTAACAATGAGTTGATGAGTCTTTGGATAACTCATTTTTACATCCTTATTACTTAAAAAGACTTGAAGCAACCAATTTATCAAGGTGTTTAGTGATACTAAAATTTAAAAGGTAAACCCTTTTCTTTGAAAGAAAGGGTAAGATGTGCAGTTCCAAAATTTATTTTGCCTTCCCTTGTTGCTATGTATTTCTCTTGACTACTCTATTTTGACATACATGAACACCTAGTTTTTTTTTGTTTTTTTCCTAAAGCATTCTTGTTAGCTGCAAGCGTCATATCAGAAATGTCTCTGAAATCATTTTGTTGATTGTTTTGCCCACTCTGTTTCTCTAATGGAAAATTTTGTGTTTGCTTAGAAAATTTTAAATGTGTAACTATTTGGAGATGTCCGCTGAACTAATCGGATATTCATGTTTTGAATATCAAATACGTTCAATGCCACTAGGAGATTGGTACATATGCACATTAAAAATAGGTTATGAATATATTAGCTACACAAGGTCAACCTATTTTTTATGTGCATCTATACTCATAATCTGCTAGTGGCATTGAACATATTCAATCTATTAGCATTCTTATGGTGCATGCAAGATCGGCAGCATCTGGACACTGTAATTGAACTTTTGGAATATGTGTGTGCAAGCATGCCTTGCCCATGTTACTTTTACTCCCACTAAACTTCTATATTTTTACAATAATGATAATAGGTACAAATATCTCTCACAATTGTGAAGAAAAGTTTTTGTCAAAGTTGATGTAGTGTCCTGCACTACTCGCTACTTCCCAGGTATTAACTGTGGTTGTACAATTGTTTTGGGGAAAAAAGCGGTTTTGTATTGTAGGAGATAAAGGAAAATCTTTGTTTTGCAAATGGCTGCTTCTCCAAAAGTTCTTACCGTTGAGAATAATACTCAAAATGAAGAGTGGACAATTGTTTTACCCCGTAAGGGTAGACATAGAAGGAATTCCCAAAAAATAAAACCAGGGAAAGGACAACATCAAGAACGACAGCCGTGGGTTCCAACCGATCTTGAATTTGATCCTGAGAGGCAATCAAAGCTAATGCATAAGATACAAATCTGTATGAAGAGAATTGAAAACTCTCCATTTTTTTCGACTTTCTTGGATCAAATGCAAAATCCAGAAGTCTTGAATCACTTTCACAGGGTTTTGGGATCTGAGTTGAAACTGCAGATGGTGATATATGGTATTGGAAGCATCGAGTCTCATGAAGCTCCTCGACTTCAGCTTAGCCTTGCAGTTATGATGAAAAGAAAGTTTAGTTGGATTGGGGATATAGAGGTTTTTGATCCGGTTCTATCTGCGACTGAGTCTCGGGTTTTAGAAGCCCTTGGCTGTTCCGTTCTGTCTGTAAATGAGCAAGGTCGGCGACAAACTTTGAAGCCGACACTTTTCTTCATGCCACATTGTGAAGCAGAGTTATACAATAATCTTTTACAGGCGAATTGGGAAGTTGAGTCATTGAATCGGGTGGCATTGTTTGGGAATAGCTTTGAGGCTTATGAGCAGCATGTGTCATTTAAGTACTATGATCAGGAAGTATCATTTATGGACTCTTCTGTTGTTGAGTCAGTCACACACATCTTAGCTGCTCGAAGATTCACAGATGAACTCAGAATCAAGACAGTTTCAGATGATTATTTTGCAGCTTTTCATGATTCAAGTTGGCATTTTTTCAAGCCTGCTTGTGAGAACGAGCTGCAGTTGAATTGATCGATGATTGTTGTTTTGGAATTGACTAAAACATATCATTTGTTTGGAAAATTTTCCTGGTCTGATTTATAACTACTAGCAGGAGTTATTTCATTAGAAAGCTTCATCTCTGACGTTATTTCCACAAATTTGACAGAAATTACATACTTTAAATTTGAATTGATGATATGTAACATCTCAATCCTGTTTAATTTTGAAAACTCTGCATCAAATTTGCAAAATATAATTTATTTTGATTCAAAATTTTTATGATTTTATTTCATAAAAAATTATTCAAAAATATGAGTTCAAATTAAGGTCGGTAATTTAACCCACTCTCGACGGGTTTTGACTCGATTCGATTTTACAAGATCAGTTTAATTTTTTCAAAATTAGGGTTTCAGGTCGGGTCGGATCTGGTAAGATTATGAAATAATCAGGGTCGGGTTCGGATTTTAGGTAAATTCGATCCGACTCGATATTATATAAAAAATTATTTTTAATTAATTATTTAATTTTTTATTTATATATATTTATATAATGATATTTTTAAATATTTATATTTAAAAAATAATATTTTATATTTTAAAAAATAATATTTTATTAATTTCGGGTCGGATCATGTACAATTTATATAATATCAAATCGGATTCGAATATGAAAAAACAAAAAAAAAATTCGAATAAAATTGAATTCAAATTTAATAACACATAAAATCAAATCGGATTCGAAGTGAGCAAAACCCGTCTCAAACTTAACTCAATGCTAACTCTAGTTCAAATATATACATCATAACTGATTTTTGAAATATCTCGTGAGATTAGCATGTTACACAATCATCGAGGGTATCCAGTATTAAATCAATTTAACGTAAATTATCGGAACGTTAATTCGTTCACCAGCTTCTAACCACTTCCATGACTTTGTAGTAATTGGTATTGGGTTCATGAAAAGGGACCCTTGCCAACAAGCTCTATACAGAAACATTGATTTAAATTTTCTACAATATGTATAGAAAACAATTAAAAATAATGGTTCAATAGCAAAGTCAAAACATTGGAAAAGTTTTTTTTTTCTTTTTGAAGTTTAATGTATTTTTGAAATAAAATAAACATTTGAGAACAAAATCAATGGATTGATAAGTCAAATTTTGTATGTAATTTTACAAAAAAAAAAAAAAAGTAATATTAATCAGTTTGGCAATTTCGTTCAAGTGTTGTGGCATAAGTGTTTTTTTTTTTAAGTGCATAAAAAGAGAATTCATTTTGACATTATTTTTTTGGAAGTAAATGAAATATATCAATTTTGAGTTTTTAATTTATAATTAATAAGTTTGTAGTAAATTTTATGAACTTCATTATTTTGAGCACCTAAGTGTTGGTCAATTCATCTTTGTATATAACACTATAAAACTTTTTTTTTTAATCACCAAGTACCAAGTTGACTAAATTAAAATTATTATGAAGAATTTGTTTTCAAAATATTTTCTTTAATATATATTTTTATTTTATTAAAAATTTCCCCCATTTTATTCATCAATAAAAGATCATCACAGTGTATGAGGATAAGTTTTCCATTGAAAAGCAATTGGCAAGTATAAAAAATAAAAGGAAAGTAAAAGGTGTTGCCAAATTAGAAAACAATACAAATCTAAGTGACTCACGTAACTGTTTTCACATTTAAAATTAAGGACTTGCTTTAAAAGTCTTGATAGACATCAATGTAAACGGTGAACAACTCAGCAAAATTGAACAAAATGGAAGCATTTTTTGAAACGCTATATCATGCAATCATGACATGCATTTTTTTTATTAAATTTAAAATTTAATATAATTAATTTATATAATCATTTAAAAAATATAATATAATAATTTTAAAATTCAAATTTTAATATATATAATTCTTTTTTTTATTTGCATATTGTTGTCTCTTTTGTACCAAGTTTTTTTATTAAGAAATGACGTTTACTCTTTTAATTATTCTCTAAACAAATTGAAATATTTAGATAATTTTACATATAACATTATCTACAATTTAATTCTAAATTCATTGGTGGAGGGTATTAATTTCATGCACATAGTAAAAAAATGTAAAAAAAAAAAAAAAAAAACAATGGGTAAAAACTACTAGAGCCCAGTGAAAAATATCATGTTTGTTATTGGTCAAATGGTTAGTAATTTAAAAATTAAAACAGTTGAATTTGGAAATAGGCCTTTTTGTTATAGCACGTGTTATACACGTGAGTTTGGTATAATAAAATATAAATAGACGTGTACGCCATACTCCAAAACCACGCTCAAATTCAAAGTTTCAAACAAAACCAAACCGCGTCATTCGAAAGAGGCGTTGTGCCGGTGGCTGCTGCTTATTACCTAATTTCTTCACCTAAAAAGTAAGTTTTCCTCTCCCAAATTTAAAAATCTTTTTTAAAATATCTTTTTAGCATTTTAATTTTTAAATTTATATTTTTTAAAATTAATAAATTATTTGACAATTTAACTATTTTCATTACTCAACAAAAAAAGTTACTAGAATATTATTTATAATCACATATTCATTTATATTCATTTATTATGTATTTCATGATATAAAAATAATTTTAGATTAATGAGATTTGAACTTTAATTTTTTAATTCATAATCAATTTTTGAACATCTTCAATAATATTTATTTAATTGAAAATTATATTAAATATATAATTTTTTAAAATTTATAACTTTTAAATATCATTAATTATATGTCAATTAATTCACAGATTAGTTAACTTAAATCTTGTTCTTCCAATCTTTTGAATAAAAGACCATACTTCAATAACTGCAAATATTCAAATGCTTACTTATTTTTTTTTTTAAATAATATTTTATAAATATAATATAATAAAAATAGTATTTATTGAGATAATAATTACTTAAAATTATTTTTTTAACCAATAAATAACATTTTTTTCATTTTATTCTCTGTTATATGCGTGTAAGAAAATCTGTTATATATATTTTTTAATTAGATAAATTTTATGAAAAAATCAATTAAAATGTTTACGTGTCACTCCAATGATTTTTTTATATTAATAAAATTATTATTTGATATCTTTTAACATAAGAGATTAATATTTTAAATTTAATTGACATATTCGGTACTCTAATGAACTCTATTTTTATTTTTTTAATTAAATTAATTTTGTAAAATAAGTCAATGAAAGTGTCCATGAGACACTTATATTTTTTTTTTCTCTTTTTACCTTTTTTATAAAAATTTAATTAAATAAATTTTATAATAAAAAATATTGATTGATAGAGATGATAAAATAATTTTTATTTGATGGATTTATGATAATTTGTTTCTACTTATTTCAAGATATATATTTTATTATTAATTTAATTATATATATTATATTAATATAATTATTATTTAATTTTTTATTATACATTAATATTTTAAGTTCAATATAGTATTTATATGACATATTTTCTGAGCTTAAATTTTTTAAAATTTTTTTGTTTTTCTTAATTTTTATTAAATAAATTTTATAAAAAAATGAGATTAATTGAGGCTTTCAAATGTCAGCTCTGTTTTATTTAAAATTTTTTTTATTTAGTTAAATAAATTTTGCAATAAAAAAATGAATAAATATGATTACTATAACGTGCGGATATCTATAGAATAATATTTAATTTATCATTTTAACTTTTGTTGTTAAAAAAATATTAAAATAATAAATATGAAATAGTTGTATTTTAATTTAAACGACATAGAAACAAAGTTCTTGCTTTGATGCTACGTCTACAAAGCCCAGCTCCTCCTCTGCATCTCCTTCTCCCCAAACAATACGCCTAACAAAAAAGAAAAAGGCTTTCATATCCTTCAACCGACCAAACGACATTTTTTTTTCTCTTTTTTTTCTGAAGCAAAACGCAACAATCATCGTCAACAACAACAAGAACCAAAACTACACAAAAAACACCACCCACCAAACCCAAACAAAAATTCGTACCCAATTTTCAATCTTGAATTTATTCTTTAAAAAAAAAAGTTTGGATTGTCTTGTTAATTTTTTAGTTTTTTTTATCTGAGTAGATGGCAGAATTGAAAAATAACAAGGCGAGATCATCATCTGGTTCGATGGCAGAATTGGAAAATAACAGGACGAAACCATCATCTGGGTCAATGTTCTTCAATCGCTTGTATACAATGCACGCAACCTCGGGTGAATCCAATCCAACCAAAGTTCACCTTCTTCTCAACAATCAATCTCTTAATCGAGCAGCTTCCATTTTCAAATTTTACAGTTCAATCGATTCCATCAAAGGTAAAGTTAGAAAGCTTTGCACTTTATTCGAATTCGACAAATCTTCAAGTCCAAAAGAACCTTCCCCCAAGGTTGTTTTAAGACCCCCGAAATCAATTGGTTATTCATCCTCGTTTTCGTTGAGTTTTAATAACCCTTTGATAAGATTACCGGGTACGGAAGATCGAATTGTTGTTTATTTAACTAGTTTACGAGGGATTCGAAGGACTTACGAGGATTGTTATGCTGTTAGAATGATATTTAGAGGTTTTAGAGTTTGGGTCGATGAAAGGGATATTTCGATGGATGCAGCTTATAAGAAAGAGTTGCAAAGCGTTTTGAAAGAGAAGAATGTGAGTTTGCCGCAGGTTTTTATAAAGGGAAAGTATGTTGGTGGTGCTGATGTGATTAAAAGCATGTTTGAAGTTGGGGAATTGGCTAAGATTCTTGATGGGTTTCCAAGGAGACAACCTGGGTTTGTTTGTCAAGGTTGTGGGGATGTCAGGTTTGTGCCTTGTGGGAATTGTAGTGGGAGTCGAAAAGTGTTTGATGAAGATGAAGGCTTGCTTAAGAGATGCTTGGAATGCAATGAGAATGGCTTGATTCGATGCCCAGATTGTTGCTCTTAAAACTTTGATTGCTACAGGGTGTTAAGGTCATTCAGAAGCTTGTTTTTTCGTTAGTTAACGTATATTGGTGATGCGGGTAATGGTTTAATGTGTTTGCAATGAAGAGTATCGTTGGCAGGGAGCTGATGATCGTTTAGTGTCTTGTTCAACTGGATGTTGATAATAATAGTGTAATGTAATTAAAATGCCATATTTGGTTTGGGCATTTTGATTGTCAAGGAGATAGTTTAATTCTCCTACATGGTATTGTAAATATTTAGTGTCATCTTAATGTACTGAACTCGCATTTGTTGCAAATGACAGATTGTAATGAGAATAGATTATTTATGCTTTACTTCTGTTCTTGAATAGCTTTGTAATCAAAGAAACTTTTAGTGCATACATAACTGAATTGCTTGTCACTGTGGAATTGCTTTTAATTTAAGGAAAGATTAAACAGTACGCAAAAGTTGATTTAAATATTGAGTCCATGTGTGGTCCCATTCATGGGAGAGTAGAGTAGTATAATAAATGTTGGCCTAAAAATAGTGTAGAAATTGATAGTATTCTGAAATTTTATTCAGATTTATGCGTAGATGCGGCAAATGTCAACTATCTTCAGAATGTATTTTGATGTGATGTCCTAATACCTTACTTTGTCCCAATAAATATCAATGCAACTCACCTCTTGGTGCCTTCATCTTGTTGTATTAAGATTTAAGAATATAGAGATGCTCTGATGGATTATTTTGGGTTAAAGGAATCTAGACTTGTTAACAAATTAGAATTGGATGGTGAAGAATGCCACTCTGTTATCTTCACTCATTCCCCTTCTCTCTCTCTCTCTCTTTTTTTTTTAATTTAAAATTTATTTTTAAAGCAATGTTGTGCTAATATCTCAACTCTTGTGAGATAACTCTTTGATTTCTGTAAGAGCCATAAGTTACGTGTGTAGTGTTAAATGTATTTCTGTTGGTCAATATTTTAATGAAGTGTTTTCTTTAAATTTAGTTTATAGGATTTGCTATTCATTTTGGATTGTGTTTTGTGACAAGTCTGTCTTAACCATAAGGCGGTTCCTTTTTTTTTTTTTTTCCAAAGTTACGTTGTTCTTTTATCTGCTGCATGTTTAACTCTTGATTATTGATTGATATTAGGGCTGTGGCCGGTGGGGATCCGTTTTCTTTGCATTATATGGTATATTGGCCATATTAATCTGGCATATATGTCAGGACTATTTCCTGTTTTAGACTCCAGTTTTTGAAACTACACCTAAATATGAGATGCTTCTGACTTGAAATTTTCCCTTTGTTTGGTTGGGACAATCTATCTCCATCGTTATTCAGGTGACTAGTCGCCATCAAGGCTCCTTAAGCAGTATGATGGAGTAAGCATTAAGCTCTTCATCTCCAATCCTTTCCTTTCTATCAATATAATAGCCCCGGTATGAGTCAATCAAAGGAGACATGAAATACCTTTCCTTCATTTTTTTAATGAATTATGTTGTTTTCATAAGATAGTTGTTTTTCTTTGGAGAAGCAAATTCTTGTACTCTTGCTTGTTTTATGCAGTTTCCTATCAATCAATTTTCAAGAAAGTTGCATGTTGAAATAGATTTTCCAAAATGTCATCCAGATCCTCGATTATCCCAAATGATTTTCAGTTTGGCTTCATAGATTAGACTCAAAAGGGCATGCCTTTTGCCATTTCCTTGCAGACATAATAGCGTTAGCATTTTTGATAGTTCTCTAATGCCCACTGCCTCACCCATGTAGTGTCCCTGAGCAGACGCTACTTCATCAAAGTTAACTTTGAACATAGATTTGGTTGTCCATTGCACCTCTAGTTGTGAAGTCCTTCTAGCCGGACCCCCGAATTCGCGTCTAAGAATTTCACCGATAACATTAGAGCTCTTCCTGCAGTCTGTTCCGGTTTTGTGAAGTTGACGTTCCTCGTCTACCATATGCTTTATATGATCATGATAAGCTAAATGAAAACATCCTTTTAATCGTTGGAGGAGCACACCATAAATCTGATCCATCACTGAATTAGGACCTCTCACCAACGCCCCTTCATTTCCATTTTATTTTAATGTAATTTCAGACTTCCCGGCCAACTTGCAATCCTTCAGAGCATGAAAGAGTTAATGATACTAGTTTTTAAACGCCTTTTACTCTAGGAATTGAATTTAATGCTAGAAAGAAAATTCCCTTACGATTAAGAAGGGTCGTTACTTGTTACCAAGAAGAAAAAAACGTAGGAATAGGATGGGTATTGTATTACATATTCTTTTGATGATAGTTTCAAATTTTTGTAAATTGTGAAACATAACCCATTAATTAAATTAATTTTGGCGTTTGAACCAAGTTGAAACTAGAAAGTCAGAAGAGAACCAAATCTTGTGGGCTAGGATTTTCTTTCCTGTCCTGGAAACTTTGAAATTCTACATGCGTTTCAGTGGTTAAATATTAATTTAAATAAATAGAAGATAGTAGTAATTCTTTTTGTTCTTCTGGACTAGGATTGAAGTTCAAGCTCAAGACTTTTCATTCTAAAGCCAATTTCAGTACCATTGAATTGAACTATCAGTTCATTGAAATTTTATGCTCTTTACAAATAATCTTTTCCCTGCCCAGTTTCCATCCATGAATATGTCATCTAGTTTCTAAATCGAAAATATTTTAAATACTAATAAACATATAGGCATTTAGTTAGTATTATGCATTTTTACTCAAGTATTTAGGTCTAAGGTTCGCCAAGTTGAGCAGCACAACATTTGAACTTAAAGATCAGCATTACTTTGACAAACAAAACGAGTAATGAGAGTGGCTTGCACGTAATTCTAATGCCAATTCAACCACCAAACTTACAGCTTGACATTGCCTAAAATAGTACCAATATATATATAAAGCTATTCGTCCAAGTTCTAGAGCACAATCCAACAGGAAAAAGATTTCAAACATGTCATTCTTCAGAGCTTATGGCAAAATTAATGAGGCAGATCTAGCAACGCTCCAGACTCGTCGAAAAACAAGGAGGAGAATCGCCATGATTTGCCTGTCATTCATACTCCTTGCTGCTATAGTAGTTGCGGCTGTGTTGGGAAGTGGAGGCTCTAAAGGAGATCCAAAAATGGTGGCAATGGTGGATTTCAGTCCATCTCTACTTCTATCAAAGCTGTATGTGATATGACCTTGTATAAAGATACATGTTACAGTAGTCTTGCTCCAACGGGTAACTCCAGCCAGTTCAAACCCGAAGATATCTTCAAATTGTCGATGAAAGTAGCTATCACTGAGCTATCGAAAGCATCCCAGTATTTCTCCAAGAATGGAATTTTTAAAGGTGACATTGATAAGATGTCAATTGCAGCCTTGGAGAATTGCCGTGATCTTTTGAGTCCAGCAATTAATCATCTTAATAGCTCCTTATCGTTATCAGGTGAAGTTTCGGTTATTCAAGCTGTGGATGATTTCAGGACATGGCTAAGTGCAGCTGGTACTTACCAGCAGACCTGCATTGATGGGTTTCAGGAGCTTAGAGGAGACATAAAGGCTAGTGTTCATGACCATCTAAAGTATTCTTCTGAACTAATTAGCAACAGCCTCTCCATTATAACATGGATTTCAAAGGTTGCCAGTGCGTTTAAACTAAGGCGATTAATGAATTTTTGTCCAAACCATGAAAAGCCAAAGTGGTTGCATAAAAAAGACAGGATATTACTTCAAAGTTCGGATCAATTGAAGAAAAAAGCAGATATTATTGTAGCGAAAGATGGCGATGGTAAGTATAAGACTATCAGTGCTGCCCTGGAGGCAGTCCCTGACAAAAGCAAGAAGAGGACTGTGATCTATGTGAAGAAGGGACTTTATAAAGAAAATGTAAGGGTTGAGAAGAAAAAATGGAATGTCACCATGATTGGTGATGGAATGGAATCGACAATTGTATCTGGAAGCCTCAATTATGTTGATGGGACTCCCACATTTTCAACTGCAACATTTGGTAAGTTTTCAACTGCTAGTTAGATGTAGTTATTTGACAGCAAATAATTGACATTGGTAATAAATCATAGCTACCAATCTCATTCAAAATTGACAATTATGAAAAAACTTTGATGATATGACATTGTAATTTACTAGTGGTTTATGAAGTTTATAGTGTGATTTATGAGTGTTTGACAGTGTAAACTTGCTTTCTTTGCAGCTGTGTTAGGAAAAGGCTTTGTTGCTCGAGATATAGGATTTGCCAACACTGCTGGACTGCAAAAGCATCAGGCAGTGGCCTTAATGTAAACAGCAGACCAATCAGTCTTCTATAGACGCTGCTTCGATGCCTTTCAGGACACTCTCTATGCACACTCCAACCGCCAGTTGTAACATACTCCACAGGCAACCTATGCCTAACCAACAGAACACAGTCACTGCTCAAGGGAAGGTTGACCCCAATCAGAAAACTGGGATTACCATACAGAATTGCACCATTTTGCCTTATGGAAATTTGAGTACTTCTGTCAGACATACCTTGGACGACCATGGAAGGATTACTCAACCACCATTTTCATGCATACAAATATTGGGATTTTGATAAATCCAGCAGGGTGGTTGCCATGGAGTGGCACTACTGCACCAAAGACCATATTCTACTCCGATTATAAGAACATTGGCCCTGGTTCTTCAACCAAAAGATAGAGTTAAATGGAAAGGTTTGAGAAATATTTCTGACAAGAAGCCAAAAAGTTTACAGTCAAGGAATTCCTGCTAGGGGAAAAGTGGATCTCAGATGCTGGTGTTAGCTACAAATCTAGTTTGTGATTGTAACATACCTGATGGAGATGTTTGTTCTTGATTCATTTTTGGGTTTTTTTCTTCTTCATTTTTCTCCCTATACATGTATATTATAATTGCTGAAGTCAGAATTTCGGAATAAAATATACTCTTACTAAAAATTTTTGAACTAAAAATGTTTGCTTTTTATGTTTTGCAGCTGGAGAGCAGCAATCTGCATATGAATGATCAACCTTCATTCTCACTACTTTTACAAGAGATTGCATCCAATTTTAATCTTTTTCAAATCCTTCCTGTAGGCAAATTGTGTTAGACCATATTTTTTTCTCGATGATATGAATGTGCAAGTCCAAAATGATAGCTTCAAACCTTCTAGATTTCTTTTTTATGACCCTTTCTTGATTTGCTTGATTTTTCTTGTTTATATGAATAGGTTACTAGCTATTCATTAATAACATTTTCACACTCAAAGATATTAGGCTATTGGTTTGTAAGGAAGATTGGGTTAGAGTAAATGAAAAAAAAAAAAAAAAAATCACTGAGCACTCGTTTTCCTGGTTATACAATTGGAATTCAAAATTCAACATCCGACAATGTATTATAGCTGATTTTTTTTTATAACTCAATTCACATTAGGAGTCACATTATTAGCTCAACTCAAAACTCAAATTAGTAACCACAACTTTATTTCATCAAGGTACTATAGTTTCTGAAAAAGATTTGTATCTGATTTCACCTGTATTTCAACACTTTCAACCGTATTACTTGCTGGGTTTGAATATAAAGATATTTCATTTGTTCAAAAATTTGATTTAAACCATGTATTAGCTCAAAAGAGTATTGGAGAAGGACCCTAATGCCAGACCACTCTCCCCTAACAGTGAGGTTGGGCCGATTTGGGAAGAAGGGAAAGATGAAAGAATGAAGAGAAAAACCATTACAAGGAGCAAAGGTGAGAGTGCAAGTGGGGTGCTACAAATTCTACCAGCATCCACACACCATTGCCTCACTCTATAAATGGGGGTTGCCCGCTCATCACTGAGGACTCACAAGCTCACTCCATCTTACTCTTTTGGACACTTCATGGTGTCCTACCGTGAGATTCCCCCTCATTGCAAGCACCATTGTATATTAGTCACAATGTCGGAGCAGTGAATGTTCATAATGGATATGCATGTATCATCTTGAACATTCAAAATGGGACAAAAATGTTAGTGGTTGAAGCATGCTAGTACTGAAGCATGTTAGTGTGTTAGTGGTTGAAGCAAGTTAGTATGGCATTTCTGCTGAAACTTTCTGGCAGCAGATTAGTTTAGGTAAAATGATGGGTCTGTGCATGGTGACCCATGCTGTTAGGCCAACAACTTTTGTATTTTTCAAGCCTATAAATTAATGAAATGAAGCTCATGATCAAATGAGCCAATTTACTTCAAGTGACAGATTAGTTTCTGCTGTCTTTGTTTGTTCTTCCTCTGCTCTAAATCCATCAATTGGTATCAGAGCATTCTTTAAGTTCTTAGAGGATCTGTGAGTTCCAAAAATTGAGTGAAAAGCCATCAAACACTTTCCAGCCAGCCTTTGTCAACCTTAAATGGCCTCAAGCAATTGCTCTTTACCTCCACCTCCTATTTTTTCTGGTGAGAACTACCAGATATGGGCTGTCAAAATGAAGACTTATTTGAGTGCTTTTGATTTGTGGGAAGTGGTGGAAAATGAGAAGGAACCACCACAACTTCCTGCAACTCCAACAGTAACTCAAATGAAAAATTATAGTGAAGAAAAGGCAAAGAGATATAAGACTAAAAGCTGTATTGAGTCTTCAGTTTTTGATGACATATTCATTAGAATCATGACTTGTGAAACTGCAAAACAAGCTTGGGATGTGCACAAGGAAGAGTTTCAAGGCAGTGACAAGACAAGACAAATGCAAGTGTTGAATCTTAGAAGAGAGTTTGAAGTCTTAAAGATGAAGGAGTCTGAAAATTTAAAGGAGTACAATGACAGACTCGTGAAAATAGTAAACAAGATTAGATTACTTGGTGAGGAGCTGTCAGACAAAAGAATTGTAGAGAAAATTCTTGTCAGCCTACCAGAGAGGTTTGAGTCAAAAATCTCATCCCTTGAAGACTCTAAGGATCTGACCAAGATAACTCCAGCAGAATTGTTCAATGCTCTACAAGCTCAAGAGCAAAGAAGGGCTATCAGACAAGAGAATTCAACAGAAAGTGCTTTTATAGCCAAGGAGAAAGGCAAGATGCAAACAGAAAGCAAAGGCAGAAAATAAGGAGACCAAAGAAACCAAGGTTCTAGAAACAGTGAAAAAAAAAGAAAATTTCCACCATGCTCTCACTGCAAAAAGACTACTCACTTGGAGAAATATTACTGGTACAGACCTAACATATAATGTAGGTACTGTAAGCAGCTTGGTCACATAAAGAAGGTATGTAAAAGCAAAAAATAGCAGCAGCCAGATCAACAAGCCAGAGTTGCTGACAATCAACAACAGCTAGAAGAGCAAGTTTTTGTTACAACTTGCTATGGAACCAGAACCTCCTCCAGTGCATGGCTCATTGACAGTGGCTGCACACACCATATGGCATCTGATATTAACATATTCCAAGAACTAGACAAGACCTGCACCTCTAAAGTCAGAATAGGTAATGGTGATTTCATAGAAGTCAAAGAAAAAGGAGTAGTGGCAGTTGAGACACCAACAGGTACCAAACTCATTTCAGATGTGTTATTTGTGCCCAAAATAGATCAAAACCTGTTAAATGTAGGACAGTTGCTAGAAAATAACTACTCTTTAGTCTTCAAAGACAAGGCATGCATAATTCATGATCCCACTGGCCATGAACTCTTTACTGTTAATATGAAAGGAAAATGTTTTTCCTTGAATTGGCATGAAGCAAACTCCTCTGCATATGCTACTTCACATGATGAATCTTCTTTATGGCATAAAAGGATGGGACATTTCAACTACAATGCATTGAATTTCATGCATAAAAATGATCTTGTATTAAACATGCCTACTGTTGAAGTCAGTGCTGGAGTGTGTGAAGTCTGTCAACTAGGAAAACAAAGTAAGTTGCCATTTGCAATTAACAAAGCATGGAGGGCAACTGAAAGATTACAACTTGTTCATACTGATGTTTGTGGTCCTATGAGAACCTTGTCCTTGAATGGCAGTAGATATTTCATTGCTTTTATAGATGACTTTACTAGAATGTGTTGGATTTACTTCATGAAACAAAAGTCTGAAGTTGCAAATGTATTTTGGAAGTTCAAGGCTTGGATTGAGAATCAAAGTGGCTGCAAAATCAAGATCATAAGGTCAGACAATGGTACTGAATACACATCTGACAGATTTAATGAGTTTTGTGAAGTTGCAGGAATTGAACACCAACTGACAGCAACTTACACTCCACAACAAAATGGAGTCAGTGAAAGGAAGAATAGAACAATCATGGAGATGGCAAGATGCATGCTGTTTGAGAAGAATCTTCCAAAGAAATTCTGGGCAGAGGCAGTCAATACCTCTGTCTACTTGCTCAACAGGCTGCCCACAAAAGCTTTGAAGGGAAACACTCCTTTTGAAGCCTGGAATGGAAGCAAACCATCAGTGCACCACCTCAGAATTTTTGGCAGCATCTGTTATGTGTTCGTTCCTGATATCAAAAGGGACAAGCTTGATCAAAAAGCAGAAATATGTATTTTTCTGGGCTATAGCAACATCACCAAAGGCTATAGGACTTACAATCCACTTACAGGCAAGATGATTGTAAGTAGGAATGTGAGATTTAATGAGCAAGCTGCCTGGAATTGGGAAAAATCAAAGGGAGAATCAGTCAAGCAAATTGCTGCAGACATGATAAGCTTCCAAGATCAAGAAGATTATATGTTTGAAAATGAAATCATTGATCATGAACCAGTGAGAGGAATCAGACCACTCACAGATATTTATCAAAGATCAAATGTTGCCATTCTTGAACCTGCAAGCTTTGAAGAAGCTGTCAAATTTTCAGAGTGGAGAAATGCCATGAAGGAGGAGATTCAAATGATTGAGAAAAATCAAACATGGATGCTGGTTGACAGACCAAGTAACAAAAACATCATTGGTGTCAAATGGATTTTCAGAACAAAGTTGAATGCTGATGGTTCCATCAACAAACTTAAGCTAGATGGTAAGCTAAAGGCTACTCCCAACAGCTTGGTGTTTGATTTTTCAGAGACATTTGCTCCAGTTGCAAGGTTGGACACTATAAGGCTGTTATTAGCCTTAGCAAACTCAACAAAGTTGGAAAATATACCAACTTGATGTCAAATCTGCCTTCTTGAATGGTTATCTTGAGGAGGAGATCTACATTGAACAACCTGATGGTTTTGTTGCAAGGACATGAAGGCAAGTCTATCTACTCAAGAAGGCTTTGTATGGATTAAAACAAGCTCCCAGAGTGTGGAATTCCAGAATTGATGATCATTTACTGAAGTTAGGATTCAAGAAAAGCCTCAGTGAAGCAACATTGTACATTAAAGTTTTTTAACAGTAATGATCTGTTGATTGTTTCTTTGTATGTGATGATCTTCTGGTGACAGGTAGCAAATCAGCTCTTGTGGAAGATTTTAAGCTCCAAATGCAGAAATTTTTGAGATGACAGACATGGGAGAAATGTCTTATTTTCTTGGAATGGAGATTCATCAAGACCAGCAAGGAATCTTCATTTGTCAAAGAAAATATGCAAATGAAATCCTGAATAAGTTTGGATGGAAAATTGCAAACCAGTCAACACTCCTTTGGCTCAAAATGAGAAACTTGTTAAGGAAGATGGAGCTAACAAAGTTGATGGCTCTATTTATAGAAGCTTGGTTGGTTGCTTATTGTATTTGACAGCAACCAGGCCAGACATCATGTATGCTGCAAATTTACTCTCTAGGTTCATGCAAAATCCTAGTGAGTTGCATTTTAAGGCTGCAAAAAGAGTGTTGAGATATGTCAAAGGAACCAATGAACTTGGAATTTGGTTCAAGAAGAATGACAGTTCAAGATTGGTAGGATTCACAGACAGTGACTGGGCTGGCTCTCATGAAGACATGAAAAGCACTTCAGGCTATGTGTTTTTCATTGGATTAAATGTGTTCAGCTGGAATTCAAAGAAACAAGGAACAGTGGCTCAATCAACAGCAGAAGCAGAGTATATAGCTGCTGCAGCTGCTGTTAATCAAGCAATTTGGCTAAGGAAAATTCTGTTGGATTTGAGTCAAAAGCAAGATGATCCAACAGAAATTTTTTGTGATAATCAGTCAGCAGTTGCAATGGTCAAGAACCCTGTGTTTCATGGAAGAACTAAGCATATTAAGATCAAGTATCACTTTATTAGAGAAGTTGAAGCTGAGAATGAAGTGAAACTGGTGCATTGCAAGTCAGAAGATCAGATTGCAGATATTCTGACCAAAGCCTTACCAAAGGCAAGGTTTGAAACATTAAGGAAAGGTCTTGGTGTTTCCAGCAGAAATACCAAGGAGGAGTGTTAGTGGTTGAAGCATGCTAGTACTGAAGCATGTTAGTGTGTTAGTGGTTGAAGCAAGTTAGTATGGCATTTCTGCTGAAACTTTCTGGCAGCAGATTAGTTTAGGTAAAATGATGGGTCTGTGCATGGTGACCCATGCTGTTAGGCCAACAACTTTTGTATTTTTCAAGCCTATAAATTAATGAAATGAAGCTCATGATCAAATGAGCCAATTTACTTCAAGTGACAGATTAGTTTCTGTTGTCTTTGTTTGTTCTTCCTCTGCTCTAAATCCATCAAAAAACCTCATATAAGGGACTGTTAACCACCCGAGATGATGTTTCCTAAATTACATTGTCCATTCAGAGTGAATAGAAGCAAGTTTTAACATCTCAGTATGTACCCGAGTCTTTTTGACAGTTATTAAGAGAAACACATTCAAGTTCAATCTCTTGCACCCCTCTTTAACATTTTGTAGCCTAAGAGAGATCTCCTGTTTTACTTTCCCATCTATTAAGGTGATGATGCCATCTTTTACTAGGATTTTGTCTTTGCTTGCTACCCATTTCCCAAGCTGCATTGATTCCCAAATCTCAGAATTCTCACGGGCTTTGGCCGCAGCAACCAGTGGTTGAATGTCAATCTCCGCGTCCCCCATAAAATCATCAGTTAAGAAAGTATCTTTATCATACACAAGCTGCATATAAAGGCCCGGAGAGCATTTACTAAAATTATCTAAGATTAAAACAAGCCATAATCAGCACTTTCATGGGTGAAAGAACGCTAGTGATGCCTTTAAATCATATGGATAGTTAGATATAAATGAACTAAAAGAGTAATGATGATGATATTCAATGAAACAATGGACTTGCCTATTTGACAAGGACAAGGGAAATACATGCTTTACTACCGCTATATAACCTGAAACAATTTTAAGATTCCCACATTTCCTTTCTTTCATTCTCAGACGTCAATCCAAGTTTATAATGTATTGGTTTCTAGAGATTAATCATTTTCCCTTGATGTTCATGCAATCAAGTAAAAGTATTCTTGATGATTTACACACAGACAAAGTACTATCAGTGTAATGAAACTTATGTTGCAAAGTGCCAAACAAAGTATAGTCAGTTTGTCCTTTCATGTTTCATATGTTTTGATATGTGATTCCAAACAACAAAGTTTACATTTCCTTTCTTTTTTTTTTAATGCAACTCACAACTTTTAGAGGAGTAATGTTTTCTGGAATTGATAACTTTAGGCTTTTATTCCAGACTGGATTTAGGTTGTTCTTTATTACTCGGGTCTTGACTGACTGCAAAAAGGAAATTATGAAGAATTTGGATTACTATCATAACTTGCTTCACTAGATTTGTCCATTTCAGTTCAACATATAATAATTTCAGTATATTTGTGAAAAAAGAAGCATACTTGTTGACCCAATGCAACAATGACATACGAGTCGCTAGTCACCATATCCCGGACAACTAGATTGGTGCCTTTAACCACATTCACCTTAACCAGCCCAACAAATTCAACCATACCTGTCTATAAACAGTGTTAAAGAAACATAACATTCAGTAATACACTTTAATACAACTTCCATTTGCCCTGGTATGTGAAAAACTAAGATGTGATAGTATTTGCTGCTTCATTTATTCAGATAAATTATAATCAATAGCCTTCTAATTTTAACTAGAATGGCAAATTCTAGATAACTGCATATTGTCGATGCAGTATGTATACATCACCATTGACAATGTGGCACTTATTGGCTGAATAACTGAATATGTCACCTAACTGCTTTAGGTGACAACATCAAATTACTCAAGATGGTTAATTAGTCTGAGTCCTCATTATGAAATAATCTCAACCTTTAAAATTTTCCCTAGTGATGACTGAGCGTATTAGACATAGGGACGGAAGATTCAAGATGCATTAACGCAACTATCAAAGTTTTATACCCGCAGAATTCTTGCCTACCTTATTTAAAGTAGTAATGTCTCACAAAACCAGATAATGACCGCACAAGGTAATATAATCAGTTACTTAAAACTTCACTTGAGGAAAATGGGAGCATAATTTGAGAACTATACCTTTGATATGTGCACTCCAAGGCGTCTATGAACACCAGAGCATTTGATACAAATAAACACTCCAATACTTAAAGATCTGATATATACAAAAAAAAAAGTCAAAAGAAAGGCAATGTCAATTTACTATACCAAATCTAAGAACAAATAAAATGGAAAAACCGTGGAAAGGCAAAAAAATGAATTATTGTCACTATAATAGATATCGTGGCATACTTTAGATTCAAGGGATTATAAACAAAGGAAATAGAGGGAGAGAGACTCCGAGAAAGAAAATTGTCATTATCATGGAGAAGTTAATTAAAGAACGTGCAGAAGGTAATGGGGATTGGGAAAATGTAGAATTTAATAATAACCATTATCTGGAAATGGTTTCATTTGTTATTTGGGTTTTCATACTTAACATGATTTAGGCAGGCAGTTTAATAAACCAAAACATGAAGGTATTCATTGTCAGAACTCAAAAATCTAACAACTGACATTCATCAAAATTTGCAAGAGCATTTCATATCAAACCAAAATTTAATTCATTACCATACTTGTCGTAGGAGATGAATTTTGCACACTAGAGCTGCACATATGATCATATGATCTTTACTGAATGCATTTGGATCTTTGAAGACTTTTACTTTTCTTCTTAATTTACAAACTGTGAACACAGGGTTTAGTAAATAAGCACAGTAAAATCATCTTTGATACAGTGTAGTATTTTATATTTGGTTCTATATCCTTTGTGCATGACCAAATTTTATGTTGCAATTGCTCATTTTCTATTTGATAACTAGGGATACAATGCTTCAAACACAAAATTTGAGTTAAAGCCACATAATACCAGTGGGTCTCCTTGTGTCCTTTCTCTGAATCCAAGATATACTCTCCACATCACTTGCTCGATTCCAATTAGTGTTTCAGAACATAAGAGATCATATAAGCAAGAGCCTGATCCTACAAATTCAACATATTAAATAAACCAAACATATTATTAGAAAATATAAGTTTTTGGAAGCTATTAAGGTAAAATGCTAATTGGGGAACAACTATATCTGATACTATCTGCTAGGACCATACTGTGGGGATACCATAGGAAGTTCAACATGTCATGATAGGTTAACAATTAATCATTAAAAAGTTTATAAAACATAAGAATATACAAAAGGACTCTTTGCTTAGGTACATCTAAAAGAGATTATTATTATACACCTAATTTTTTTCTAAGCAAAATCTTGGCCATTCATGAAATACTTAAAATTCAATTCATTTTAAATCCAACACTTCTTTAATTTTGATGTATTTTTAAAATCAAAATTCGAACCAATTTGAACCAAATACTCCAAAATCAACTTTGGTCAAAATTTATCAAACTTGATCAAAATGGATGAAACTTAGGTTAACTCTTAAAATTCACAATCAAGTTGGAATCAATGTGGTTTAAGATTAAAATTTGTGATTTTCAAAGCACTAAAAAGTGTAATTGTAGTTCAAAAAGGGATAAAATTACCAAAATATCCTTAATGTATTTTTGTAATTTGATATTCTCGAAGTCAGATTTTTATGAAAACTTTCATATCATAATTGAATATATTTTGGTATTTTTAGTGCATTAAAAACCTAGATTGCACCTTTGGAAGGTGTGAAATTACCAAAATACCCATAGGGGTATTTTTGTGATTTGACCTTCCAAAGGTTAAAATTTCACAAAACACTCCAAATCATAGTTTGATATTATTTGATGATTTTTAGAATTTAGAAAACCTTGATTGTACCTCAAAAAATGTGAAAATACAAAAATGCCCTTTAAGGGTAATTTCATAATTTGACCTTCTTGAGGTTGATTTTTCGTAAAACTTTTTAGATCATGTTTTTATAATATTTGATGATTTTTTGGTGCTTTCAAAACTATAGCAGTACCTCAAAAGGTGTAAAATTATCAAAATACCCCTTAAGGGTAATTTTGTAAATTAACCTTCATGAGGTCGAATTTTCATAAAAATTTTTAGATCTTGATTTCATAATATTTCATGATTTTTGATGATTTAAAATCTAAAAAATGAATACGAGAGCATTGATTTATAAAAAAAAATGACCTAAAGACCAAAACCTTTTGTATTATGGGCAAATTGATCTTTCCATTGGATCTAAGTGCTTTAAAAATCATATCTTTAGAAGTTAACAATTTGGACCATCGGATCATTTTGGGAAGGTGGATCAAATGGTGAAAGTTAGCTCCTTGAAATGAAAACAAAGGAGAGTTTTTGACCCTTAGATGAGAATAGGGTCCAAGGGCTAATATTTAATCTTGGAAGATTTTTTCTTCTTCATGAGGGTTGAAAACATGAAAAAGAAGGGGAGGAGAAGCTGAAAAAAATCAGTGGAGAAAATAAGAATGAAATAAAAAGATTGAATAACATTTTTAGAGGTATAATTTCTAATTCCCTTTCTTATATTTCATTGCATTTCTTATCACATTTTTATAGCATTTTTATATTTGCTTCTTTATCTTTTTGTTTTTCTTGAAAGAAATTGATAGTGTTTGTGTTTTTAGCTTCAAATTTGATCTAGAACCTCAATCAACTAATTCATAGTTTGATTTAAGACAAAAGATCAAAAAAATAAAATAAAATCCACTATTAAAATCATTTGAAGGTTTGGCCAAGCTTGTGATCCTTCGGGCCGAACCTCTTTATGGCTTAATTTGATGTTTTTCCTTTTTTGAATAATGTGTTTGGATGATTTAAGTATTATGCTATGTGTTAGTTGCATGAATGTCGGTTATGTTAGTAGTTTACGTAAGATATTTGGCTACGATGCATGTTTTCATAGTTTCTTTATTAGGTACTTTATTACACGTTTAATGAAATTCCTTTTATGATAAAAATAACTCCATATGATGTTTACTTTGATGTTTCATGCATGATCTAGCTAGATATAAATGGTAGCATGATTATGAGAGCCAAATGGAGTGTTTGGTCAAGCTCCCCATGTTTTGGCCAACCCTTCCTTCTTTGCTTGGTGGCTAGATGTTGTTCATATCATATGTGTTTATTTGTGTTTTTATATAATTCTTCAAGTTTTCAATATGTTTGGTGTAATTTTCTTTTAATAATATGTTAGTCTAGTAGGTTGTTTGGTAAATTTTATGTTTATTTACATGAATTTCAAAAGAAAAAAAAATGATGGAACATTCAAACCAATTTCAAAAGCTTTTCATGTTTGATTCATTTTTTTCTCAAATTTTCATATATAATTTGTTTGTAAATTAGTTTTAAATTGTATATTGTGCATCATGCCTAATTCAATCATGCCTTATCTTCTCTGACGCATAAAGGCTAATGTGAATGCCAACTGCCTAAAAAAAAAAGAATATATATATATATATATATATTTTGTAGCCTTTTTGCTTAACAAAGATTTGTCTATAGAGCATTTTTGGCCCCAACATGAAATCTCGTAAGCTAAACACACACAATACATATTCTTTGCCATCCAAAGCCTCGTAACACTGAATTTCTTTTTACTTTTATTGTAGGAACACAAAAGACCCATCAAAGCAGCAAATAAAGGTGTTTTATTTAAATTTTAATTAAAGGAACATATATATTATTATGCTATACATAAATTTTTAGAGCTGTAACTTTAAATTTAACTATTCTTCTTCTTCTTTTAAATCATTGTTGTGTTAAACTTATGGAATAACTTAAAACTTTACTTTTTAATTTAATTTAATATTAATTTGATTCAACTAGTTTTAGTGTCATCTTTCATTTGAACAACTAACATAAAAATCTTTAAAATAAACCCTCAGCATTACGCGGATTTGCATACTAGTTGGGTATTAGGTATAATAGTTTTTGACATGAACAAAGAGAATGTCAAAATTATGGGAAACCGGACAAAATCTAGAAGAGGTACTGGCAGATTTTTTCTCAAATAAACAAACTCAATTCCTTTTTTCCTTGTACCAACAACCATATAAATATTTTTGTCTCTCAGCTGGATATGATAATTTTGAGTATGGAACCGTAATATCAGGGTTAAAATCTTAATTTAAAATTTAAAATTTAGATTTTTTAGTTAAAAATATTATCTTTAATTTAATTTAATTAAATATTAAACATTTATGGATATATGCTCAAAATAAAAAAATTTTAACGATAGTAAATTACACACAATTTTAAAAAAGTGAAGTATATTAAAAGGGTAAAATATGAAGTTGAGACAGATTTAATAAAAAATAAAATGATATTTTTCAATGTTCAACTAAAATTAAAAAAGAAAGAAGTAATGTCTTCACACTAATTGTCTAACTGCTTCTCTACTAACGCAAACGTAATAATAATAATAATAATAATAATAATAATAATAATAATAATAATAATAATAATAAACAACTCAAACCTAAAAAAATAAACAACTTAAAAAATTGAAAAATTATCTTTCAATTTTCTCTCAAATAATAAATAAGAAAAGCAAGATTGGATCATATGATGAGAGGTATTTTTTTTATATTTAGCTTAAATTTATTGAATTAGTTAATAAATATGTGATTTATTGATAAAATGTTAAAATTTTAATTTTTTAATAAAAGTTAATATTAAATATAAAAAAATTTATTGAACCCTCACAATCATGTAAATGTAAAACCTTTCATTTTGCATGTTTATCTCCAAGTTATGAATTCAACATTACAAAAATGTGCCCACGTAAATCTAAGATATATATATATATATATTATATTACAACATACAAAATTACATGATCAAAATCGTTTATGTAGATGTTTAGATGGATAATCTCTTTTAATGACACATAATATAATATTTATACTATTTTATTTATCAAACAAAATTTTTTAATAAATTATTTAAATTAAATATTTTGGATAATTATTTAAATTGAATCAAAATCTATCTATTATTGAAATTTTTGTATAAGATATGAATTCAAATATATTAAATTGTAATTTATCTTTTATTTTTAAATCTAATGACAGTTCCAAATAAATATATATTTAATAAAATTTATTTTCTGTCAAATAATTTTATTTAATAATTTATTTAAATTTAATATTTTTAGATAATTATTTAAATTCAAATAAAAATATATCAAAAATTAAAAATTATTTAATAAATTATTTAAATTTAATACTTTTAAATAAGTTATAAATTATTGGAATAGTTTGTTGATGATGTTATTTGGAAGTATTTCCTAACTGTAATTCCTAGTGTATGCTTCGAAAATCTATTAAATTGGTCTTTGGTGGTCTAAATTTGATTATAATTTGATAACTGGAAAGAGATGGACTTGCCCATATATTAAAAATACCTTTGTTCCCATCTGTTAGAACTTTAAACTCCATTTTAGATGACTTGAATTTGAATCTTCGATCGAGTAGGGCTACTTACCATTTTGTAGTCCAAAATTATATGTCAAAAAGAAATCTTTTAACCTCAAACACAAAATAAACAAGGCGATAGAGTAGTTGTATTTTCTCTTTTAGGATGTCTTGGTTTATTGTTTCACTGATATCAGCCTATTGCTTTTTCTTCCATCATTCAAGTTATAAGGTAAACAAAAATCGCATGATTGTATTGATATTCTTTTTCGTTTCCCCCTGGTCTGGTCTTGATATCACATCAGCTAAATTTTAATAGGCTTGAAATGCATATCTGTACTGGATACATATTTTTTTAACGAGAGACACATACAGAGTAGTTTCTTAATTTCTGTGATGACTTGCCATTTTGTTTTTCCTTCTGCTGATCATTAATCAATTTCCCTTAATTATTCTTAAAAGTAGCTGGCCAAGATTCTGCATCGTTGCAGCATGCCCTCTGGGGGTGTTTTGACGTGTTCAAGGTTATCTAAGCCCATGCCATGTAGTTCTCTTTTTGCATCAATTCCTCGTTTACCTACAACGGATGCATTATTAAGTATCAGGATTTCTTGGAGGCCAGATCGGGATTCAAAGTCCCAGTTAGTTAAAGGTATATAAATACCTTTTTCCCTTTTAAAATGCATCATTTGGTATACATGTGATTAGCAGAATGTTCTTAATTAGGCTTATGACAAAGCCAAACTATGGTTTCCTACAAGCCTCAGCATATATGTGGTCATTCTAGTTTTTCTGCATTGCTTCAGAATTGCCTCAAACATTTTTATTATTTCTCTAATTTATTATCTTCCTTTTTGTAGGTTTGCCTTCCTTGCACCTCTCTGGTGCATCAACCCCACTATTGAGTGGGGATTTAGGTGGTTTGTCTCATACAGTACCCTCCTTTCCCAGGCGTAGGAGCTCTAGTTTGGTGCCTCGGGCATCAAAGGATGTGCCATACAGTTTCCGCTATCCTCCAATGACTAAGAAGCCTGAGTGGTGGTGGAGGAGTTTAGCATGTCTTCCTTATCTAATGCCTCTCCACGAAACCTGGATGTATGCAGAGACAGCATATCATTTACACCCCTTCTTGGAAAACTTTGAGCTTTTGACCACCCCATTCCTTGAAGCCATTGGGAGGTTGCCAAGGTGGTTCTTGATGGCATATTTCGCTGTTGCATATCTCGGAGTGGTAAGGAGAAAGGTATGGCCTCACTTTTTCAGATTTCATGTGGTGTTGGGATTGCTTTTGGAAATTGCCCTACAGATGATAGGGATTGGTAGCCGCCGCATGCCGCGTGCAGTCTACTGGGGTAAGCTGGGTATGCACTTTTGGACAGCTGTGGCATTTGCCCACCTATTTACTGTTTTAGAGTGCATTCGATGTGCTCTTGCTGGTATGTATGCTGATGTTCCTTTTTTTGGTGATGCTGCATACATCCAAATTCCATATGACTAAGGGTGGAATGTAGTGAAAATGTTTTTTATTCGGTTTTGTTGGTTCTTTTTTTTGTATGGGAAACTTTTTTGAGTGGAAAAACAGATTTCATATGTTGAAGCTCGGTTGAACTTTCTAGTACATTCATTCATTAGTTCTGTTCCAGAGCAGGATTTACATCCAAGTCCTTTCCCGCCTAACGTCCCTTCTCTGTTATTTCCATCTTGTTGAAAATAAGTGTAATCTTGTTCCTACAGACATCACTCGAACAAATAGGTCACAATGTGCTTCTCTTGACAGCATGCATGTTCAATGTTGTATTTGCAAGTCAACAAGTCTGCTTGTTTGTCCAAGCTCTGGTGCCTTTCAGTCCAGTTTGCTAAAGCATCCTTTAAAAGGAAAATTGGATAAATTCGTTGATTCCTATTCCATGCACGTCACTGGTTGAGTGATGAATTCATACCCAGGTAAAGCTCGTATTTTCTTCTATTATGGTTGTTGTGAGATTCCAACGGCATTATTTCACCAGCCCAAGGCACTAAACTAAAATAACTACAATTATTTCAGTGGCTAGCTAGGATTTTGCTTTGAAGAACTTGAATTGTCTTTACATCTGTGCTGTAGGCCTACTTTCTCCAAATTTTGGTTTTTCTTTCCACAATCCAACGGGTTGCAAAAATGAACAAAGTCCTTTTTGTGAAAGTTCTAAACCTAAGCATGGTATGATCTATAGCCCTCTACAATTACTAGACTTAGATAATTTTAAGATGGCATGATAAGGAAAAAAAAAAAGCAATTTTAAAATTTGAACAAAAATCATATAAAAAATTAGTTTATAATTTAAATTTTAACAAAAATCATATATAAAATTAGTAAAACCAATAAATTTATTGTGTATAAGGTATCAATACGAATTGTAATACAATATATTTTATATTTTATATATGTTAGAAACAAAAAAGACAAACATTGATAATCTAATTTCTAAGTCAAAGATAGCTATGAGTAATACAAAATTTCTATGTTACATTCATATTGATCAAGCTATAGTAATTGCAATATCAACAACACTAATTTCTCCACTAAGCTGCTAAGCACATAAGAGGGACTAAATTATAACAATAAATTTAAGCCACTGTGACTAAGCCAAAAAGGAGGAACCATCACCATTAATCATGGCTTGACAGGTTAACCTAAGACTAATTTGTCATTAAGTGAATAATAATCCTCCTTACAATTATAAGTCTTCTATCTGCTCTTAGGAAGAGAAATGTTCATCAGCTTTGTTGAGAGTTGATCAATTTCAATTGGCAATGGATGATTTGCTGCTTTTCGGGGAGTTAAGTCACTCTCTGAACTCTGCTCGTTCAATTTTTCAGAATCTTTAATTTCTCTCAGAAGACATTGTGCTTTGATAATAAAGCTGCGCTTTCATCTACAAACAAGATTTCAGATCCTCTTCATTTCGAGCTTTGTTCAACTTGTCAACAATATCACTTAAAACTGAAGCTCTCTCAACCACACAAGGGTTTTACCTTGTTCAACCTACTATCCAGTTTATTTCAGTCATCTGGATCATTAGCACCATCACTTATATGAAGCTCTTTTATTCCCTGATCAACAATTTGTTGTATCCTCTTTCTGGAGTACTCAGTTCTCACTGGATCCAATCTTAGAGTCAACTTCACACCTGCAGTCATCATCAAAGTCTCATCTTCCTTTGCAGTGAGGCTAGGATTAGACCCTTCATCCTCATTGGACCCTTCATGCATAAATTTTGTTGAAAGACTTCCACAAGTAAACTAATATTCTGCATGTACCGGTCAAAAGCATCATTTTTCAATTTCAATATTTCTGTCCTTGAATTCCTTCAACTTGGAAAACCTCCATTCATTTAAGGCTACAGGATCCTGAAATAGCACACCAGCTAAGGCTATACAGTAATATAACAAACTTGAACAAAAGTATCTTTTTACTGTAAACTATTCTGCACCTTTCTGATTAGGTGTATCTTTGAGCGGACCTGTAAGTTGTCAAATTGTGCCAAAGCTTTGGAAAGTTTCCAAAATGAAGGAACCCTTAAGGGCGTCCATAATAGCATTCAACAGAGAAGGAACCAGCCACAAGTCAAATGATAAACTCAAAAATCAATTTGAGGCCCAAAAAGATATGACTGAACAACTCATGTAGACAACCAATATAGTAAAGTCAGCAACTCAAAAAGTGAAAAATAAAATTGTAGGAGGCCCTACAGATTGGGAAAAATAAGTTGACTATGAAGAGGAAAAGAAAATTTAAAGAATTTAATAGGATGAGAAACAAAAAGAATTCTAGAGGCCAATTACATTTCCAAGAGGCCTTAAATGATCAATTATCAGCGGGCTTTGAGAACCTATGCTAATTAAGGATTCTGGAAACAGTATTGGTGATGGTAGAAAAGCAATATGTAAAGCATCAGATTCGAGATTAGATGTAGATTTCCAGGTGTGCCCATTTTGACCAACACGATACAACCACATTGTCCAACAAGAAATATAACATGCATGCCTAACAAAATTCTCTAACTATCTGCTTATTTGCAGTGACAGTTTAACATAGAAAGTGAAGTTGCCCAAAGAGAAACATGCTTCTCTGCTTTTGTATCATTCTTTCAGTTCTGACAGCTAGACACAGTCACACTGACTCCTATGCCCAAATCAAATATAAAAGCTAGAAGCACATTTTGAGTAGCTAATTTTTGCAACATACCCTTGAGCAGAAGCCCAAGTTGACTTCTGGTCTGATGAAGTAGTGCTTCAACTTGGATCTTCTCTAGAAAAGCTGAAATTGACTTTAAAACTGCAATTACAATATAAATCACGAATTGAGTTACTTACAACGTTCATTGCTTCATTCCTTAACTATAAATACTCTAAAGTGTTAAGAACAAATTCTTTGTTTTCCTAACAACCAAAGCAGAACACAATATCTATGAACGTCCACACCTCCTTCAATTTACATTACTTTCAGCTCAATCAGAAAAAGTACTTTACCAACCGTAAAAAAAAAAATCTCCAGAGAATTCAACAGTTCTTGTTTTCAATGAACATCTCTAACATTCAGTAGAGACCAGATTTCGGAGTGTTTTTCCTTTGTCAAATAGTTGGTAATACAGATTCCAGATAACGATATAAATGCCTGCAGCCTTACAAAGATCTATGCTGTTGTCACTCAATATAAGCCCTCATGTTGTGTGTCACACATAACTGATGATTGCATTGAAATGAAAAGTCCAACAAGTATTAAACCAATGAGTTCTCAGAACTATTTGATAACCTCACCAAGATAAAAATTTAGCCAAGCTCCCACATCTTTAAGAATGTGAATAAGAAATTGTTTTCTCTTGGAAACTTCTACAGGATTCGATTACCCAAGTATGTTCTTTTAGATTTTTCTGTGGATACAAGGAAAAAAATCATCCAAATGTTACAACAGACTATCATCTAAATGATATTTGCAGTTTCATTTTTATTACACAATAACAATTCCCACGTCAAAAGTTTCCCCTTTTCCCTTTAATAAAAGGAGCAGAGTTTGATAGCCCCTTCAGACAACACCTTCACCGAGCATGCTTTTAAAGATAAACTTAAACCTAAGCCAGTAACCTCAGCATATTGTTAGCCTTTCAATAGAAAATATGACCATTGCAACAAAATTAAAATATTTACTTCTATGAAATAAGCAACTAATAATACTGAAAGCTACTAAGCTGCACCATAAAACTAGAATACTACATAGATCCTTTCACCATCTGCAATTGCAAAGTACCTAAAAGAAAGTGAATCAAGGTAGAAGACTATCAAGAAGAACCCTCAGATCCTTATAATGTGTTTTAAGATAATATGCATTCTAACTAGTCCAACTTGATTTTTACTTTATATCACCCAATGACCCTATAACCCCCACTTCTTCTTTTGGATAAGTAACCATAAAATAGGATAAATTCCTGTTACCAAAATGATTAACGTTTGATAATAACTAAACCCATTTTTCAACTTTTCTTCATCAAAATGTTAAAGTTGGCATACCGTGAATATGGCATGGATTTTGTGCTTTTGAGCAGAAACTCTAGCATACGGGAATCTGCACAAGCAATCCAAGTAATAAGAATGATTTTATGGGAAAATTTTTCAAGCTCAATAAACCAACAAAAGACAAAATTTTCAAACACCTGCAATGAAGAATTTAAACAACTCAAATGGGTTTAAAAAATCAGACACTTGCTAATTCAAGTAATTATGTCAAATTAATGAGTTTCTTATATATAAATCAGTAGACATGTGCCAACTATCAAAACTTAAATTTCTTAGCAACTTTTGTCCAAACAAAAACCAGATAAGAAAATTGACAACCAACCTTAAATCAATCTGGAGTCTAAGATTCAAAGTAACTTAAAGTACCTTGCTGTTTAATATTTCATTGGATAATTTTCCTTAAATTATTTGATTTTTTGGGGAAAAAAAAAAGCTAACTTCCAAATAGCTGACCAAACCAAATAAACCAAAATCTCAATTGCCACAAAAAACCTAAAACATCTCATTACTACACATGAAATAAAAAAAAAAAATCTCAGGGAGTGGAAAAGAAAAAAAATCAGAGAAAGAGAGAATTTGTTTACCTGGAGCGGGCAACATTGCCACACTGAATACTTTTGGGCCTATTAAGCCCACGCTGTGTCTTAGGGGGTTTGTCCAAACATTGAAACGGCGGAGAAGGAGGCGTCGCCGCCGCAGCTGTAGCAGTCGTAGTTGCCGTTGTGGTTGTGCTGTGGTTGTTTCGGTGCTCCTCTTCGTGGTGGCTGGAGATGAGGTCGCCATTTTTACGCACGTGACTTTCGGTTTTTCTTTCTTCCTGTTTGATGAATTGAAAGTGATAGCACGTGACGTGACTTCTCTGGACTTGAAATTTTATTTCTGGACAGAGAGGCGGGAGTTTTGGAGAGTTTTTAAAATAGGAATTTTGGGAGGAAATTGATTAAAAAAAAAGGAAGGAAAATTATTGCTTATTATTTTCTAGTATGGGTGGCCCCCGGGATTTGTTTTATATTTTCAAGTTTTAAAAACTTGTGGCCTGGCCCAAAAAACTGGTAAGGAAAGACCCAAAAGAAGCCCAATTTTCCTTTTTTTTTTCTAAGAAGAGTAAAATTTTAAAATATGTTCATATAACTATAAATGTTTTTTAAAAAATTTAAATAAACACTATTGTGCATTATGAGTTTGGCTTATATTAAATTTGTGAAAATCTCAATTATATAAAAAATGATCTAGGTGTCAAATTTAAAAAAATATAGATCATTCATGAAAAAAATTTTTGATAACTCATTGTCTAATAGTGGGGGAATTTTTTTTATATAAATTTGTTAAAAAATTTAAATTTTGTATGGTTAATTTATTTAACAAACTATATTAATCTATTAATTTTCACGTTGGAAATTTTTTAATCTAAAAATTATAACGTTTGAGACTAAATAAAAACTCCAATTCATTATTAATTGTTTATATATGAAATTTCTTGATTATTTTTTACTTCCATATTACCCATCTTGACCTGTTTCCTATGCTACAAATGCATGTAATTCCTGTATGATAAGGATACAAGTTTGAGGCCTGTTATTGAATGAAGTAATAAAGTATTTATTTGTCCCTTACTTTCTTAAAATATTAAAAAAAAAAAAAAAAAACCAGCCGAATATGAATAAACATTTCTGTGGAGATTTTGTGTTTAGGCAAGGCAAGATGAGAGAAAGAGCAGATCTTCATTATCCCAGTGACCATTCAGCATGAGAATACACAATTTGATGCTGATCCCCATCACCTCAGCAACCAAATTAGAGGTAAATTTGTAGCCTTAAAAAAACCAGAGATGCCATGGCCCCATTAGGCACCAACCATACAGCACCAGAAATATTTCATCCGCCTTAACTTTCTTGGATTTAGATCTGCTAATTCATTGGTGGTTTTCTATCAAATGCTGATAACTAGGAAACACATTTGCTTAGAATCAGCAACACTAGCAACTAAGAGGAATAAAAAAGCACTTTGATACATATAAGCCTGCATATATGACCATCTAAAACAACTATGGATAGACGGATAGATAACAGATTTGTAGGCATAATACATGGATAAGCAAAGCGAGTTTGCCCCCTAGAAACTAACCAAAAAAAAAAAAAGACTAGAAGACCCGTAAAACCCCATCACTGCTCTTTCCATATCCTTCCTGTCACTCTAAGCTTCAATTCTTTCCGGTCTCCCCCTGAGAAGAACAATGCCATGTTGCGTTGGATAATTAGACCATCAAAACTATCACGAACCTTTCGATGACTGTCCCTTATGCTCCTGGGTACCCCTTGCCAAATCATCTTCCTCCCGTTCCCACCCACCTCAAGGCTGTAGCTATAGTTCTTTGCCTCATTATCGTCACCCATAAATCGCAAGAATGCTATATAAACAGGAGCCATTCCAAGCTGGAACGCTTCAAAATGCAGGCAAAAGTACTGACCAAAGCAACTGAAAACCTAATAATTGAGAAAATAAATCCAACTATCAGTGGCATACACCACACAAAATCTTTAAATAAAATCTAAAATAACAAGGTTCAATCTATTCAATATCATTTTGCCATGTCAAACAACTAAGAAAAAAATTTCTTATCCAAAAGTAGAAATCAACCTAGTAGCAGTCTTCAATTTCATACAGCAAAGCCACTTTGATAGTTTTAGGTCCCCTCTATGATTGGATTCAATGGTAGAACAATAGGATAACCAAATGCTAATGGACTTTGTAGGATTCTCTATCCATATGAACCAAATCAACAAGCACACAACAAATTCCTCTTCTAGAGGGTTGAAGAGAAACCAAAATATGACAAGAAATATGGACCAAGAATAAAGCAACAATACCGTTAGCATCCATGTAGCATTCTCAACCTCATGTGGATTTGATTTGACATAACGATGGTTAAAGGTGCTGCCATTGTGCATGTCAACTTTGTGATCATCTTTAAGATGGGCCACAAGATAAGGAATATCACCAATGACTGCGCATTCTGACCCAGCATAGGGGCAGCTATATGGTCTACAAGAACATTGAGACTCATGTTTAAGCTTGCTGTAATATGGATATATGCCGCTGCACCCAAAACTTTGATATTTACAGGGAAGCTCAAGAGATGCAGCAACCTTCTCCAATGCAAGACACCTAATATTACCAAGTTCATGCCTGCATGTGGGGCACCGGTTGTGCACCCTTGGCTTGCAACCAGAACACAATGTGTGTCCATTTAAACACTGCATAAATAAAGAAAACATGATGTATCTATAAATAAATCAGGGTTTAGGTTTTAACTCAAAACTACTAATAGCTTAAAGGTAAAGTAATTATAAACAACTAAAAGAAAAACAACATTACAAGATAATGAAAACACAACATATTGAGGCCTTCTGACCATCTTAAAATGTGAGGTTAAATCTATCAGTGCAATGGAATGCACAAAAAAATATCATCTTGCATATAGACATGTTTTGCTAAAGATATCTTTAGAATGATTAAATAAAAGGTGGTTTGAAACTGATATGATTCCCATGAGATTTCCATGGACTGAAAGAGATCCCACTAGACACCAATTACAGAACATGCATGTTAAACACTTTCTTGAAAGTAATCATCAATCGCAAGGTGCCATATGAACCAACCTGATGAATTGGTGGGTACATTGCATTTAAGCAAACAGGGCACTCCAAGAGCTCTCGAACACTACTAGACACAGTTACATTAGGTTTTGTAGCAGTTTGAGTAGGATCATTCACAAATTCACTATCCATAATGTCTTCATTTTGTGGAGGATCAATAACCTCAGGCTTGCTCCGCAAGTCATCAAAAAATGGATTCCCAGACGCCATGCTAGTATCTATGCCCAGTCCAGACTGAAAAGACAAACAAAAATGCAAAAAATCAGTTAACATTCCACTTATTATAACATGTTTTATATGAATAAAGTTTGAAGATAGGTTATTGAACTAAATGGTTACTCCAAGTATTAATGTACTACTGTCATTTAAATTTAGATGGAACTAATATTTGATCATAAATAGTAATCGTTTCATACAATTCTTTCTGGAAAGTCCCCACGAAAGAATAACCAAACACAGAGATAAACATTGACATTTGGTGTTTAAAAATTCATTTAAAAATCAACAACATGAATATAATTAGTCAATATTTGATTATTTAAGTCAAACCAACCTATTTTATCATTCAATAATAATAACTAAGGTCCCTCAATGCGCATCTTCAAAATTAGTCTATCAATTAACAGAAGAAATCTGAAATTTAATCATAAGGACAAAATATTCTTACCACCCAATTTTTTTAAACCCTCAATCCTCTCTCTTTCTCTTTCTTAAATTCACCGGCCAGCCGCGAGTTCCTCCTTACCCTAGAAAAACAAATATTCATCAGAAATTAGATTAAATTTTATTTTCTTTTTCCAAAATAAAAACCCAACTAAAAAGTTCATAATTGTGGAGATTACAACAATGTAGGTGGAAAACAATGAAAGTAAAAAATAGAAAATTTAGTTGTAGTTTACTGAACCAAATAAAGATTAAAAACCCCAAAAAGGGGACAAAAATATAAAATTTCCAAAAATAAAACTACCTTAAAAGATCAAACAGATCTAGAGAATATTCCGGAAAGGGAAACTTTATGATCAACTAAAGAAAAAATCCAGAAACCAAAACCTCCCCAAAAAAATAAAAAAAGAAAACCCAGAAAACGCACCGTCCATTGAAAGTCAAACACGGATTTGAATTAAAAAAAGAAAACCTTCCAAAAACGAGTGGGCAGCCGCCCAAAATGAAGACGAAGAAGAAAATATTTTTATAAGGAAATGGGCGGATTTTTTTTTAATGGACTACTAATAATAATGACAGCAATTGAAGTGGAGAATTTCAAATTAGTGAGAGAGAAAGGAGCGTGGGCGTTTGGGAATTGGATTGGGAGAGAGAATTTTCTCGAGAAAATACAAAAAGAAAGAGGGAAAAAAAAAAGGTTTCGAAGTTAAGAGGGGCCCCTTACCTAGCTTTTGGTTTTTATTTGTTTTTTCAAAGGTTAAAATGTCGGGGGAGGGAAATTCTACGTGATTCTACGCACGCGTAGGCGCTATTGAGAGGGGGCGTGGAGACAGAGAAAAGAGATTTTAATTTTGAAATGAAATGGACGGAGGCAAGCAGCATAGACAGTGACCCACAATACAGTGAACGGCAGATATGAGCCCAACTGCACGTAACAATGCTCACAATGATCATTCAGCTTAGCTTCACATCACAGCATTTTTGGTGCGATACCCCAACTGCACCCACCTCTTTGGGCTAACCACACTCACAAACAGATGTGGTCGGATGGGAATGGTCCAATTGCACCTCATTGACCCCCATGGCCTAACAAACGAGGCCTTAATCTAATAATTCATTGAGAATAAACTTGTTATTATTATTTTTAGAAAAAAATAGATATATGAGATAAGAAAGGCGTAATTTGTATTGTAAATTCCAAATTCAATGAAATTTCATGCATATAAAAATAACCTATTTTAAATTAGAACATTGTTTTATAAAAATCAAATTATTCTTTTATCACTCTTTTATCAATTAAATATATATATAGTTTTAAGGTTTAGATAAAAACTCAATTGAAATTGTAAGAAAAATATGAGATGAAAAAACATTATAATAATATATCCTTCGGTTTCATTATATTTATCCCTTTTTTTTAATGTCTTAAAATTATGTATTATTTTTTTAAACATTTAAATGTTTTATTTTTTATATTCTAAAATTATTTTTCATGATTTTTTAATTTTTATTAAAAATTATAAAATTTTAAATTTATAAAAAAATTAAATTTAATATTATATAGATTAAAGTTAAAATGTCTGTTTTAAATTTCAAGAAAATCAACAAAAAAAAAAAAAAACTAACATTATGAGAGTATAATTGTTTATGTTGCGTTAAAAAATATATTGTGTTCATGTAAAAAAGTTGGACACAATTAATCAATGGTGTCACGTTTGTATCTAACCATTTATATGTTATATTTTATTATGGGATGCTATAATTAAATACATAAATACGATGCTCTATCATCCAGCACCAATAGCAACTCATGCTGAAAAATATAGATCCTAAGCGTAAAATAAATTTTCTAATCTTAGTGTATGAATGTATTCGATTAGATGTAATCTATTGTCACCAAGGTGCAAATGCTAAAAGGAAAACATGATCGAAATTTTATCAGAGAACACTGTTTAGAAACATGAAGCAAACCAATAGCGGAGATAAGTTTAAAAATCAAATATGTAACTTACATTTGATTCATTTGCTTCATCCATATGGCGATCATTTTTCACATTCTGCAACTTTGCAAAGCAAAAAGATAATAGGAAATATTAACGTAATGAAAAATTAAGACAAAAAGATTAAAAATATATGTTATATCTTACCAGAATGATTGAAATTGATGGATGCCGTGAAATCTTCTAAACATGTGACTATAGGAATCTCTAGAACCAAATAAATTTTATGCCTAGGTCTCTTAAAATGCAACAATAGACCCGTGAGCTTCATGCCTTTTGACTCGTATAAAACTTATAGCGTCAATTAAGAAATAATTCTTTATTGCCAGATTCTAGCCAACAACATGTACATGAGCTAAATGTCACAATTTGCATAATCAGCATACTGTATAATTGCATACATCTTCATATCTATATGTCTATTACATCAACTCTTTCATATTGCTAAACCATCAGGAAAGCTTTTAAAAGTGCAAGAAACATTCTAGATATAACATCGAAATCGTATGAAAGGTCACCTTTATTTCCTTTATAAGCTTCTTACAGGTACAAATTTATAACACAACAATAATTGATTGGTACTATTAAAACTGTTCTGTCTTTTCCCTGGCAGAAAGCTATAATTCATGCACAGTGATGGACACATCAAAAGCATAGATTAAACTACAAATTATAGCTTTTTCATTTTTTTGGGTATGGCATGGACACTCATAATTCCCACGAGAACCGACACTAACATGCTTGCCCTGCCATACCTAAAATTTGTCACAAAATCATGACAAAAAAAACAAAAAAACACGTAAAAAAAAAAAACTAAAACCACCATCCTTACAAATTGTGAGGACCCTGACAAAAAAGAGAATAAGAAAAACAAAAAAAAAAAAAGGTTTCAACTGAACAGTGAAAGATTTAGACTGTTTGGGCAAAGATTTAGCTATGAAAAAGGAAGGGAGAAGAAAAGAGAAGAAAGAATGAGGAAAAGAAGATGGGTAGCAACCGATGACTGGGCAAGATTTGGATTTGGTTAGAAGAGAAGAAAGAGAGAAGCGAGAAAAAATAAAAAGAAAAAAAAGAGAAAAAGAGAAAGGAGAAGAAAGAAATGATAGAGAAGTTTACGGAGTTTTTTTTTACCAATTTTGCCTCCAATTATTTTTATTGACATTGCAGAGTTATTGAAGCAGTCTCTTCACCGAATTACTTTAATATATGTTATAAATATGATACAATTATATTTATTTAAAAATTGAGTTGCTCATTTAAATACGAAGATTTGTTTAAATTTAAAGATTGAGTTATTCATTTAAATATGAAGATTTGTTCAAATTTTATAAGGATTTGAATAAAAAATTAAAATTTATTAAATGAGACATAATTTTTAAATTTGTTTAAATTTTGAATTAAACTTTAAAACAAAATATTTAAAGTATAAATCTGATTTAACTCAAATTCACACATATATATAATTTTTTTATTTTTATATGTACGTGAATATATATAAAAATTAATTTATATATATATATAAATATAAAAATAAAAAATTTTATATTTTATTAAATTTAAATTTTTATATATATTTAAATTAAATATAATTTTATTAAATTTAATTTAATTATATATTTTTCAATATATTATTGTAAATTTAATGAATAAACATAACATTTATTTTTTAATTTAAATCAAATTTAAAAATTTTTAAAACTCAAAATTTCAAACTAATTTAAATCTAAATAAATATATAAATTATTAATATCAAATTTTAATCAGCGCTACCCAAATCCAATCTAGCTCAAAAACACCTTCAGACCCAATTACGATCCAATAACACGAATTGTCAGCCTTACCTCAAAGCCGTAATGACCTTACAAATGAAATTTTTAAAAAAAGTGTATGATGCGACCCTGTTTATAGGCTACTAGCCATGACATGTAGTTGCAGTTAATAAGTGCTGGCGCGAGCCTTAAACGGGTTGCGCCGTACTGATAGATGGGTAAAAAACTGACGCCCAACACACCATTGAGCCATGTCGGATCCGGGTAAAAAAGCCGAACTAAAACAAAAGTAGCTTTACAGTAACCAGCAACGCAACTCTCTCACATAATAAACCCTCTTCTCTGCCTGCAAGTACAGTAATTGAACCGATCATCTTTTTCTCATCAATTTATTTTTTAATTTTCTTATATATATATATTTCTAATTTATGAAATTACTTTTTTTAATTGATTTAAAAAAAGGATGCCAGACACCCAAGCTCTCGTCAATGATTTTCTTAACAAGCTTAAAAAACGGTAAAGCATTTCATTTTGTTTCATTAAATATAAATTTTAGAAAAAAAAAAAAGTTAGATTCTTTTGGGGTTTTTTTTTCAGTGATTTATGAACTTTTTTGTTTGGGGTGGTTGGGCAGTAAGATTGAGGGTTCACAGGCAACAGCGAAGCAGACAGCGGAACTGCTGTGGTCAGTGATTTCGCAGACACGAGTGCCTTGTAACAACCAGGCTGGAGCTTTGATTCATTCTGTTAAGGTTGTTAGAAAACGGTTAATTGTTGCAAATCCTGTCGGTATTATGCCTTTTTTGTTTGGGTTTGATTTGGTTTTGCTGATTATGTTCGAAAATTAGTTAGTGTTCTGTATCAGTTTCATTTATGTCATGTTGCTGATGTCGAAATTGTATCATACATTGATACATTACACTTGAACAGTCAATGCTGCTCAGAGTATGCATGATAATTGCTGCGTTTTTTTAGGACCGCGTCTATCTGTGTTCATTTCTATCTATGGATTTTACATATCGAATGATTAATAGGTCATTGTTGTATATTTATGAACTAGAACTTGAAGGGTATTTTTTGAACCCATAATGTTTCTTTGTGAAGTCTTGCATTTTACGAGTCTGTTCGGTCACGCTGAAGAAGTTGTGTGGAAAAGTAATGTTAAAGTGGTTTTTTTGATAAGTGTAAAGTGTTGTGTCAAATTAAAATGATTTTGTAATAACTAAGAATATCTTTTCATTGTTTAAAAATTTCATTGAGACAAAATTATCGGCTTCTCATTGCAGCTTTTTTTAGAAGTTATATTTTGATTTTTAACCTTCTAGATAAGATAAAAGTTGTTTTTGGAAACCCCTGTTTGGTGTAGCTTCAGCTTTCTGGAGTAGAGAAGCTGCTAAAAAAAGCTGGGCCAGACGTGCTATAACTTTCTTATAGGGATTGTTTATACTTGTCCTCTGGTATTCTATGTTAATAGTGTATGGATGCGATGGCAGAGTTTGTGGTGGGTAATATTGTGAGGCGTGTTTTGTACATTATCAGAGAGGAGGATCTTTCTCTGACAACTGCTGCTATGGTTGGATTGAACTTATCAGCTGTAAGTGATGATGAAGATGATGCTGATCGAGATGACCAACCAGTTTTATCAGCAACTGCCATTGCCACTGCTTCTAGAAACGCTTTGCATCCACCTTCCTTGCAGACGCTACTTGAGGATGTGCCTGACTCTGCTGCAGTTCAGCATACTTCTTCATCTGGCAGAGATTCTGAAGGAAAAAGCAAATGTAAACCCATTACTTCAGGCACTTCTTTTTCAAGAATGCACTTGAGACACTTGTATCTGCGTTATGCTTCATGAAATTAGATTTTGATTTTGCCATTGATATTCTCTGAGACAATGTTTCTGCATGTGGTTAAATATTGGTTTATACAAAACTTGCTTTTCTGTGGTGATAATCATGTAATGTTAAATCTTGTAACATTATACTTTTTTTTGGGTATTGATGTTTAAGAGTTTTATTGTTCACAGCTGCTGACAAAAGTTCAAGAAATCGGAAGCTGAAGCATGATGTTGTTGAAGCAATGAATGAACTTATTCAAGATGTTAGTACTTGCCATGAACCGATTGTGGTGCGAGTAGAGCATATACATCAAAAGTATCTTTTCTGCCTTAAACTTTTCAATTCAATTTGGTTTTCTCTCCATTGCAAAACACTATTTATTCCTTGATTATTTGTTGACCAAACTACAAGAATCATATTTGATAGTTTAAGGTTATTGTTTCACATTTTAAATTTCCAGTATACTGATTATAGTTAAAACATATTGTCAGTGGAAGTGATATTAACTTTTGGCAGTTCAAGAACAGTGCTGCAATTTCTTTGTGTTGCAAAAGAGAGGAAAAGATCATTTCTGGTATTGGTTGCGGAGGGTGCTCCAAGGCTTGTACAAGTGGCTAATATATTTTACAAGGCAAAGGCATTTCATTTAAGCTGTCGTAATTTTGATATTCTCCGCATAACAGTTTTGTTTTTCCCATTACTTAGTGTTAACTTAGGTATCAGGGGCATCTTCTTGCAAAAGAATTGGTCACAAGAGGTCTACAGACCACATTGATTACCGGCTCTGCAGTTTTTGCCATGATTTCCCGAGTAAACATGGTATGTGATGTTTTGCTGTTTTCCTACTTGATTACGGGTTTCTTGCACTGTTTTGAGCTTCATTTTGAGATTGAAATATGAAGGTTATTGTTGGAGCCTATGCTGTCTTGGCTAATGGTGGGGTCATTGCTCCTGTTGGGCTGAACATGGTTGCACTTGCTGCTCAAAAGTATGTTGTCCCATTTGTTGTACTTGCTGGCAGTCACAAGGTACCTGCTTGACCAGCAAACCTTCAAGAAGTTTTAGTGGAATAAAAAGTAAAACCACTTTTTTTTTTTTTCATTTCAACTTAAATTAACATTTTATGTCATTTATTTATGCCTTTATGATGGTATGAATTTTGTTTTTGCACGGTTCTTTTATTTCTTTTATTTAGATGAATTCAGTTTTAATAGCTTGAGGTGTCATGCTCATGAATGATAGGATAGAATTTTAGAGGGCTTTAAGAGGGGCTATTTGTTCAAAAAATATTTTCAAATATGCTTAATGGTGCAAAACATGCAGTTGAACACCAATTGTGTGATGCAGAATAGCAGAAGTACTAAACACCTAGTAAAGGGAGGTGAAGAGGGAATGACATAGGGATGTTAACAGTGAAAAAGAAGATACCCCATATTTGTCGCTGAAATTGAAGTCTGATCCATATGACATTTATTTCAAAATAAAAAAAGAAAGGAGGAAAGACATTGGTATGTTCAACATGTTCAGACCTTATATTCAGCTTCCTGTCAGTTTTCCCTATGTTTAGTGGGTCATACCTTATGTTCAGGTTCAGCTTTCCATCAGTTTTCCTTGTAGTGGATCATACCTTATGCGCATGTTTCCTTTGAAGCAGTTTAGAAAAATTTAGAGTGCAGTAACGTAGGTTAGAGTCCTATACTTGTTATAAGAAGGTGGCCAACCAAAGTGCTGGCCAAAGTGATTTGAAGTGGTGTATCTTTTATTGCTTATCAACAAGGCAATAAATTGAATTGTGCTGAATCTGACATGTGTAGATTTGCATGTCAGTCAATTTATCGGCAAGCCAGGATCTCATGGCATTTTGCTGTCTGCTCTCAAGCTTTTTGTGTGACATTATTACATCCCTACTTTAAATCTAGACATTTAATGAGGGTAAACTTTTAATTTAAGTATGAGCTTGAAGGGCAAAATTATTGGGGGTATAGTTGTGGAGATCTCTGCTAATTTATTCCTGAGCTTCATTCTAAAGAAATCAGCAACCAAAAAGAGCTACTCAGCTGACATGAAGATGGCCAGAGAAATGGCCAAATAATGAAATGCTCCCAGATGGTGTTAACGGTTACTAATGCAAATATTATATTATCCCTGTTTTTTTAATTTTTCTTCTGTACGTGCTTTTTGCTTGTTAACTCGTTGGTGGTGTACATGACAGTTATGCCCTTTGTATCCACACAATCCTGAAGTTTTACTGAATGAATTACGGTGCCCATCTGAGTTGCTGGATTTTGGAGAATTCTCTGATTGCTTGGATTTTGGAAGTGGAATTGGTGCCTCTCTTCTTAATGTTGTCAATCCAACATTTGATTATGTGCCACCAAAGCTTGTTAGTCTCTTTATAACGGACATGTAAGTTCAACTGGACTTTATGGAGTTTGAAAGATTTAAAACTTCTATGCTTTCTGTTCTTATTCGGGTAACCAAATCAATTGCTACTATTTTTCCAGATTGTGGAGTATTAGTGCCCTGTTGATACAATGTGGAGATGCAATGCATAGTCCTGTTTCAGCTATTACTGTTTCACATTGATCTTGGCCAAAAGAGAAAAAAGATTGCATATATTTGGCTCTTATGTTTCTGCAATTGCTAGAGGGTTCTGCTTTTCATGGACCTCCTCGGACCACAGTGGAGGGCATAATCCGTCATACATGTACTGGCTGATTGCTGATTATTACTCTGCTGGTGATCTAGTAGTGCAATGAAGACCTACTTCTGGCAATTAAATTTACGGTACTCAGATATATTGGTAAGTGCTTTTTCAGCCTATCGAGAAAGGGGCTGAGGGTTGTGAGGAAATTGTGGTCATAGTGCTCAATAATTATTCCCATGCTAATCTTTTAAATTGTAAAAGCTTGTATTTGAGTTTTCGAATATTCAAAACTCCATTAATAGCTTAAAGTAACTGCCTGTGCTTCATTTCAAACTTTGTCCTTATAGAACTTTTGATCAAATGTTTCTGCAGCACAACATCAGATACGAAATTCAAGTGAGCATTCCTGTTGCTGAGAAACCTTCGTTAAATCTACGAGTTTGTGGAATCAACTTCGGCAAGCTCCAGAGAAACAAAAGAAAGCCATTTTTGTGATTATGGATAGTAGGGCTTACGAAGTTGGGAGAAAAAGGGAAATCAAGTGAAGGTAATTTTTTTATCATCATGAAATTCCTCATTGTATCATGTATCAAAAATCATTCATGAACTACCGTTGTATTACATTTGGCTTGAAACTTGATGGTGTTGGGGACTGGGGATATAGTTCTGTATTGCATTTTACTTGGAAATTTCAGAAATTTTTAATAATCTCGACATAAAAGCAGCAACTGAGAGTGATTGAGAAGATTTTTTTTTTTTTTAATTTGTAAAAAACTGGATTATGAGAGAGATAGGATAGTGATATTTTACCAACAAAATTTTGATGATTGAAGTTATCTTATTTAACCCAAATGTTAATGATGATTGTGATTACCAAACGGTCGATCGTGTTGTCACCTCGACAAGATCATTAAATATCCTAAACGGTGGATAGCTTTTTATATTGAAGTTTATCCTAAACAGTAGATTGATACTAAATTGAAGCAATAAGCTTTTATATGCTGTGTACTCTGGTCAAGCTTGGACCCATCTGATATGGATATGGATTTCCAGATGTACTTGCACCGAAAACAAACCAGCCTTGTCAAGCCACTTTAAGTGACGAGTTTTTGTCTAGGAAAAATAGAGTTGGCCAGAATAAGCCATTCATTTGTGGAATAAGTTGTTTCAAAATGTTGATTTTATAATTTTTTTGTGAAATCTTTTTTTTTTATTGGATAATAGATAAATTAGTTAATCCCTTGAATCAAAATAACATTTTTTTTCTTAATTATGACATTGTATCGTGCATTTGAGATTAGTAGTATCAAATAAGAATCAGCATAGTAAAAAATAAAAACTCATTTATTGATAAGTAATCAACAATTAAGCTTAGGGTCCCATCCATTATCATAACTGAGAGTTTAGTTTTGCTCATTACCATTTGCATACTTTCCAATAAAGAAATATTAAACCTATTTTATTGCTTCTTTGGGAACTTCAAGGAAAACAAAAAAAAAACGTTGTTTGGGGACACAAAATATCTTCTTTGGACTTTAGGGTGGGATAAGTTTTCAGCTACTTCAAAGAGTGTTTCGTCGGAAAAAGTTAGATTATTGGTTAAAATTTTCGTAATTTGATTTTTTTTAGTTTGATTCATAAAGTCTAATTTATGAGATTTTCTAAGATTCTAAGTAATGTCAAAAAAGGAGGGTAATAACCTTAAGTCAACAATCCAACTTTCCCTAAATTTTTTTAAGATTTTTGAAATAATGTAAAATTTATTTTACTTTTGATCTCAATAATAATTTTTTATAATCTCTTTTACTTTTAAAATCTAATTGAATGATAAATCGATACCTTTTTTAACATGTAAATTTGTATTTCTAATCATACGGTTAGATAAATCTGTATTCTTAGTCATATAATTAGACACTTAACAATGATTATGTGTATTTAAATTTTTATAAATTTAAATATTTATTTTCAATTAATAAAATTAAAAAAAAATAATATTTTTGAATTATAAACGTAATTAAAGGATGAATAAAATAAAATTTTAATAAATCAATTTTTTTATTTACACATAATTGTTATATTAGAAATGTAGTTATATATTATAATATATTATAAAAAATTAATTATAATAAAAATAACATTTTAAAAACAAAATCGTATGAGATTGTTTCAAAATTAAGATTTTGAAATTTTTTTATAGTTTCAAAAATATTACATTTTTAACATATGAAACATAATTGATTGTTTAAAATAATAACAAAATAAATTTTATATTTTCAATATCAATAATATTTATTAATATGGAAACGTAGTAATTAATAAAACATAACTTTTTTTTACATAAAATATAATTATTGTTGGTAGAGTCAATATCGTATAATATTTATTTTACCTTTAATTACGTTTTGTGTAAAAAAAAATAGTAACTGATAAAACTAAAATTTAATTTGTATTTCTTTATCTCATGATTATGTTTCTTGTTATGAAAACGTAATTGTTAATAAATAGTAATAATTGATCACTGGAACTAATAACATTTTTCACATATAAAACATAGTTAAAACTAAAATAAATAATATATTTTTCTATATCAATAATGTTTTTTTATTATGCAAATATAACATTGATAAAACATAATAATTGTTTAGTTATCAACTTGAATAATCATATTTTTTACATATAAAATGTAATCAATAAAAGAAAATAATAACAAAATAAATAAATCTTTTTATGATATCAACAATGGTTTTATTTTAGAGATGTAGTAATTGAAATATATATTTTGTTATATTATTTTAATATTGTCTATTTATTAGGTTAAATATAAAAATGACTCATAAACTATATATTTTTTGTCAATTTGCTACCTAAAGAAATAAAATTATCAATTTGGTGCTCAAATCTTTATTTTGTCATTTTTTTTGTACTTTGAACTAACATCGTAAGTTCACTTATTGACGTGATATGAATATCCAATAAGATGTTGACATGTGTAAAAAAAATATAGTCTACGTCATGTTATCAATTGTCACATTAACATTAAATAAAAAATTTTAAAATTTTTAAAAAATCTTAAATATTTTTAAAAATTATAAAAATATAAAAATAAGAAATATTTTTAAAATTATAAAAATTAAAAAGTAAATGAAAACTTTAAAAGATTCAAAAATTTTCACAATTTTAATAAAAAATCCAAAAATTCAAAAAAATTTAAAATTAAAAAAAATAAAAATTTTAATACAAAATATTTTCTTAAAATAAAAAATGAATCATAAAAAGCTTAAAAATTGAAAATAAAAAAACCTAACTTTTTTAAATCTAAAATTTAGAAAAAAATTCTTCAAAATTTTTAAAAGTTTCAAAATATTAAAAAATTCCAAAATTTTAAAATATTCTAAAAAATTATAAAAAATTTTAAAAATTAAAATTACAATTTTAGTAAAAAAAAAAATCTAAAAATTCATTAAATATATATTTAAAATTGTAAGATTCTAATAAATGAAAATTTTTCATAATTTTTAAAAAATTTTACATTTTTTGAAAATTTTTAGACTTTTTCAAAAAATTTTAGATTTTTGTATTTAAAATTTTTGAGTTTTGAGAAAATTTTTTTGAATTTGAAGACAATTTTATTCCTATTAAAATTTTCATTTTTTTTTTGAATATTTTAGGGTTTTTATTAAAATTTAGATTTTTTTTAAATTTTTTAAGTTTTCATAATTTCTAAAATTTTTTACAAATTTTGGTTTTTTTATTTTTTAATAATTTTTAAAAATATTTAGAATTTTTAAAACTTTTTAAAAATTTTTTAAAAATTTATTGAATTTTATTGAATTTTTCTCCTAATGTTAGCATGACAATTGATGATATAGCGCTAATTAGACTTTTGACACATGTCAACATCTTATTGGGTATTCATGCCATGTCAGTAAGTTGATTAATAGTGTTAGTCCTACATACCAAAATGGTTGATAGAATGAAAGTTGAAATACCTAACTGATAATTTTTTTTTTTAAAGTACCAAACTGACAGAAAGTGTATAGTTCAAGGGTTATTTTTATATCTAATGCATAGTTATTTTTGTTTTGGCAAACATAGAATTCTAATAAGACTCCAGATCGTAGCCTTTTTGTTTTACACAACATCACCTTCCAGCTTTATAAATTCATCTTCATTTGGTTCATTTTAACTTATCTTTATCATTATCCTGTCAGTTTACTTTTTGTTTTTATACGATCGGGTTTATGTTTTTGAGTTTTTGTATTATTTGCTTGCGTCAGATGTCTTCTTGTTATATTACTAGATGTAGGTTAGATCTTAATTTAAAAGTTGTTAATCTATCATATGTGTTCTTACTATTTGTTATTTATTCTATTTGGCTTAGATCTTGATTTACTCAAATGTTTTTTTGCTATTTGTTATTCGTTGGATGTGGCTTAGATCTTGACCCATGAAATGCACATTATTGCTTAAGATACATGTTTTGAACATTAACAAAAAATTTTCTTGTAAACAGTTATGCCCTATTTATCAATAAAAAGAAGATGCAATTAGTAACAATGCTTATTTTGTAAATGAATCAGACTGAGAGTATGTTTCAACTATTGCTTATTATTGCTGTGACATTAGTTGTTTTAAAGTTTAAAAAAAGCCATAAAATCTTTTATATTGATGAAACTCTTTATAAGCTTCAGATTAGGTCGTTAAATTTAAACAAAATAATCTTTAATAGTGATATACAGAGTGTGTATAGTTGTAAAATTGATAGAAGAATTTTTGTAAAATTATATCAATTAATTTAAATATAAAAAAGATTAAAGGCCAAGACACCAACCTGTGACACTCTAAGAATACTTTAATATAAAACACTCTCAAGTAAGAAATTGTATTGAGAGATGTTTTGGTATATTAAAAGCTAGATTGACAATTTTAAGAGAGAAATCATTTTATCCAATTAAAATACAATGTAAAATCAATTTTACTTGTTGTCTTCTCCATAATTTTATTAGGTCAAGATGTCAATTGACCTTATTGAAGGTGATATTAGTGAAGCGAATAGTAGTCAAGTAAAAGATAATGATTATCAAGATTTGATTAGGCACATAGAGCCAAGTGATGTTTAGACTAAATTTAGAGACAAGCTGACAAAGAAAATGTTCACGAATTGGTTGTAATCCAATGGTTAATGACAGTTTATTTTTTTTCTATTTGATTGCTAACATTGTTTAGTGTACGGTATATTAAGTATACTATTTATTTTCTACATTTATTTTATATTTGTTTTCCTATTTGTTTTATTGTTAAGTGTATAATGTAGTTAACTATTATTTACAATAATATTTGTTTTGTTACCCTATCTATTGATTTTTTTCCCTTTGTAATTATTGGTTTTTGATATGATGTGCATTTGTTGTATGATGTCTAACTAGATTATTAAGATATTGATATGTCGTCATCCGCTTTGAAAGTAAAAAGTACAAACAAAAGAAGAAAATAAACTTATGTTGGTAATCACACACGGACAAAAGCTAAGGATACCACACTTCTCCAATGCCTATATTTATTGATAAATGATCTTAGATGAAAAGCTAATAATGAAACAATCAAAGTTGGCTACTAAGGATAATTAGAAAGGATGTTAGAGGCCAAAATTCCTAAATCACAATTGAAGGCAAAACTATACATTGAATCAAAAGTCAAGTTACTAAAGAGATAGTATAATGCTATTTGTGATATGATAGCCATCTCAATTAGATTTGGATGTAACGATAAAGATAAATGTGTAACTATATCCAAAGATATTTTTGATTGGTGGGTTCAGATAAGTAGTTAACATACAAGTAGAATTTACCTTGGTTGTTTATTTCTTATCAAAATATTTTTTATATATACAGTTAAATCTTTTTAATTTAACTT